TCGATTAGTTGATTATTCTACACCTATCACCGCGAAGATGACTAAAGAATCCACTTTTTTGGCGAGAGCAAAAAAGTGTAATACCTAATTTGTCCAAACTAAAGAAAAAGATATTTTAAATTTCAGTTTCAGAAGCAGCAGTAGTTGAACGTCCATTTAGTTCAGCTGGTGTTATTATATCTCAAAGGATAAGTAACATAAATCCATCTTTAGTCAAAGATATGATTTTGGCTCGACAGGTCCACTAAATCTAGGCCCACAGATTGTTTTGTCTCGGGCATTCGGTCAAGCCAGAAATTTCAAAATGTTTAGGGCCGAGCACAAAGTCAGAATGAATTTTCTGTATCCTTAATTAATTACTTTATTTTTATTATCAAGTAATAATCTTCAAAGTGCTCAACATCATGCATTTTTTGAGATCGCAATGATCGGTAGAACGGCATAATACTCAGCACTGCTGTCCTGCTGATCACTACGATTTCCAAAAGTACATGGTTCTGTGCATTATGAAGTTTATTAATTAATAATAAGGTTAATTAATTATGTTAATGCTCTGTTCGAAAGGCCTATCTGGCCGTAGAACAATAGGTCGAAAATTTTCTGAATTTCGAGCCGAACTGAAATTCACATAACCCTGTTTGTTGTGATGCTTTTTATTTGAACGCTTAGCATGCACAATGTGTAATATTTTTTCTTGTAATAAATCTCGTTAAATGATAAATAAATTGATTATATAAAATAAACAATTTATGAAACTTTAATTATTAATTAAAATATTCTCGGGGTAACACGGGCGGGGCGGGGCCCCGTCAGACAATTGACGGGGCGAGCGGGCTAAGAAAAAAAGTGAACTGCACGGGGGACGGGCGGGACGGATTTAACATACTACACGGGGCGGGGCCCGCGGGGCATCAGAAATCACTGCCCCGCACACCTCTGATAAGAATGTATTGTTTATCATTCTGTGATTATCTTATTGCTGACAAAAAAAATTAGGAAAATAGTTTTTCTTTTCTAACAATAAATAATTGTTTAATGAATATAATTTCACTAAAATGTTTGTAACTATGTTGATGACTAACTTTGAATAATTCAAATGGTAATAAATTACTAACAATAAAAGAAACGGGATCTGACATTTTTTCACTGTTAAAATTTGTCTTTTCATTGTTTTACATGGAAAGAAAATGCTGTTAAAGTAATGACTATATTTTTTGTCAAGATTTAATTAATTATATTGTCTTATCTGTATGGGAATCGAAGACATGTAAGTGAAAAGAAATGAAGATATAATTTGATGAGATGCTACGTATCAAAGACGATTCGTGAAAGATAAGTTGAATATAAATCAAAATATGAAAAAAGTAGAGAAATGAATTCATTAGAAGACATAGTATATTTTAACTAATAGAAAACCAGTAAGAGTAGTTTTATTCCAGAATGTCATAAAGTATTTTGAAATTATCAATGAATAAATATACTGAAAAAAAAGAAGATGAAAATGGGAAATTAAAAGATTAGGGTGTGGGTGTGACAAACTAAAGAAACACTCATGCCCACAGCCGCATCTGCACGCACACTCACTCTCAAGATCCTTACAATCGCATTTAAAGAAGAGACAGGATGGAGTTAAAATTCATTCGTTTATCTTTGCTGAAATATTTGAACAGAAGCTGCTGCAATGTTTTTTTTTATTTGGTGTACAAAGAGAAGTTCAATGGATTTATGTTTCTATAGAAAAGAAACAAAAAAGAAAATATACATACTAATTATTATTCAATGAAAATATTAATGCCAGGATGTTCAATAAAAGGTGCGATTTGATCGATGAATGATAAGCTGAAATTGATATCAAACAAATTATGCATTAGTATATGATTATATCATATGATAATTAAATAAAATTTAGAAAAACCTTCGTAAATAGTATAAATGTTATATCAATTAAGTTTAGATGATCGCATGAGTGTGTGTATGTATCAGATGAGTAACTAAGGAATATAATACTCATTCTTCTAAAATGTATAATTCCTTCTTTTTTTCCAGTTTTTGTAAAAAATTATAAGTATCTACTTAGAGTACGATGAAACACCGATGTCCTTGCAGAAGAAACTAATACATACCAAAACACTATCTTGTCGTTAGATGTTATTATTTGAGGAGAGTCTATTTTTTCAAACTGACAACAAATAACTCAACTATCGTATTATTTTTATACACTTCGCTAGAAAGTGTTGATTAAAAATAGAAAATAAAAAAAGAATTGTTTTTCTCAGGATAAAGTCGGCTTTCATTCGTGGAAATGATTTTAAATTATATTTTTCAGCTTTCTGTTTCCTTAGAGATGTATTTCTCTTCTGACGCATTAAATGAAAGTAATGAAATATAAAATATATCATATCATATTAATTTTTTTTTTCAAATTAGATTTTTGTTATTAACAAATGCGCAATTTCATATTTAATGGATAATTTTTTTTTAAGATTTGAAGTAAACGGATATACAAACTTGATAAGAAGAATACTTGTAAAATAATATTATTACATAGTTTCTAAAAGAAGAAAATAAAAATAGAAAAAACTGTTTTAGGAATATCGAACTTTAAAATGTCAAACTTGTAACTAACACGTGCCGTCTTCACACTAGAACTTTATCAATCAAAAAAGCAAATAATTGACGAAATCAGGTGGTATCTCTATCAATGAGATTTATTCGAATTCTATACATATAAAACTCGAGTTTTGCATTTTAAAATTAGTTTTTATGTATTTTAGGAGGATGATGATCGTGATGCATTAATCTTTTGCGCAATTTATATAAAAAAATATTTGACAAAATCACACAGATTTATGGGCAATAAAAGTATCGATCAGTAAAAGTACTTTTATGATAAATATAAAAGTATTTTGTCGTATTATACAAAATTTGTTGTTATTTAAAGAGAGAAATAATTATTTTCAATGCAAATAATAATGAAATACTTGAGTTTAATGACAAAAATATATATTGATGAAAGAAATTATTAAATTCAAGGTCTCATGTGAAGAGTGAAGTTGTTTACATATAATCGAGAAATTGCGCAGAATATTTATTTGAGATAGAACAATAGCTAAATAATTTTGATATAGTTTATAGACGGATAGATACAAGGAAGAATGATCAAAAGTGCTTTTATAGTATGAATAATTACAAAAAGAAACAAATTGTTAAGTATAGTATTTATCAATTTCTGATTAAGAAAAAATGTTGATTAGTAATATCTTTTCACCGATTGAATATACTTCATTAATTTAGCAAGAAAAACAAATATCAGATAATTGTTAACGAGAAATTTATATTTTTAAAAATGCAAAACAATGAAAAAATTTCACTAGGGTGTGGGCGGAGGTATAAGTATATGATGCCTGCCCCACCTACACCCAGTTTCAAAACCAAGACTTAATTTCAATATTCATCAACTAACAGGGGAAAAATCAGGTCGACACAATATTTGTGGATTGTCGACAAGAATAAATAAGAGATTTTTATTGATACCGTGACTTTATTTCCAACATTACACTAAATTCTCTTTATTTTTACATTTGTTATCACCAAATTCGTAGTCATTTTAGATCATAATGAAAAAATGATTCATGAATACATCAATAGCTATCATACATCTTTTAAATAAAAATAGTTATTACAATAATTTAAACTTCAATAATTAATATAATAGATTCAGATGAAATTATCAATGCAACAATTTGATCATGTTGAATATTTTCGAATATTTTATTCTTTTTTAGTTATTTTTTCGAGAGAACTATATGCCAAAGTAACATGAACAGTTATCTGCGTATTTTTTATCAATGTTAGTGAATACAAACTGGCTGCCGTTTAGATGTCAATATAATTTTTCTCGATGGTGTGGGTGATTCTATCTTGTTACACCCATACCCACACCCACACACACATCCACACCCTCAAGATGGTCTGATTTATCATTATTTGTCAAAATCATCTTCACCATTATATAAATCAATAGTTGTCTCTTCTTCTTCGATTTCAAACGAAATTCTAGTTTGATCATCGTTTGATTCTACGATAATGGCACTTTGCATTTACTTTACTAATGAGTAACGTAAATAAAGTGTCATCTCTAAAGAAAATCAATTATCTCTCATTTAAAAAATCTAAAACTATAAATTGAACATATTTTTGATATAGATGAATAGCAATGTTAAATTTTCGATTAAGTATATGTACACATCTTCTATCATTGAATATTCTAATAAAAGAAAATGCTTCAATTGAAATTGTGTGATGTTTGCAATTGATAATTCTATCATTAGATAAATATACAGTATCAAATGCTTAGTACATATGTCATTCGTAGTCTTTCTATTCGTTTTGTGTATATTTATTTTTAAAATTAAAAAAAAGAAAAGTGATGATGAAAGAAAAATAATCATCTGATACTATTTGAAATCATTACTGTCTAATACATTGTATGGCTCGACGTGTACCAGATATCGCAGTTGTTACTCATCCAAATACTCTTGTTTTTCAACAGAGAAGTATAATTATCTTAAATATGTCTCTGATTAAGATAATAATTAAAACTATTTTCTATTTTAAGATGTATATACAAACGACCCAGAAAGTGTATGTATATATGTATTTGTCTATCGCACGTTTCTGATTCCGGTCATCCATAGATTGACCCGTCTCCTGCTCTTTCTTTATATTATGTCGCATAAACAGAGCATGTCATTATGTGTTCTTCTCTTCTCTTGATATGTATATGTATATTAACAATGCCAGATAAGTTCGACAAAGAAGAAAGAGAAAGAATCTACGCTTCTTTTGTTATTCACATACTATCGACGTAAAGAGAAGACGACAGAGAAAGAGAGAGAGAGAGAGAGAGAGTGAGGGATAAGGTAAATCATTATCGACTTACTTATTTTTTCTACTCATAGTCAACAACGGCGACTAGTTATTATCGTACGCCATTAAACATGAATGCTCAAAATACAACACCGACTTATATCACTCCTGGTCCTACCCATCCTGTTAACTATGGTCCACCACCGCCACCACCACCACATGAAAGTCGTATTGATAAAGCTTATGTGACATCGATTCGCGGTATTCTCAAATTTGCTTGTCTGGTATGTAAGAAAAATAAATGAGACTAGCTCTTTACCTTAAGTATAACTTAATAAAAAGAAGTTAGTACATTTTGAAAAATTACATCAAATAATAAACTATATTTACTTCAGATATTTAGTTTCATTGCATTCATTTGTGTCGTATCGACACCACAATGTAATGGTAATCATGCATTTCTTGCTTCAGTTACATGGCTTGTTATGATAATGCAAACTATAATTATAATTGCTTTTCTTTTTCGACTTAAGACAAAATTTATTGGTATTGATTTTGAGTTTTTGGTAAGTTAAATAAAACGGATAGAGTTATGATGATTGTTTATCTACAAATACGTACGAAATATTATCAATAGTAACTTCCGTAGTTACATATGGTTTCTATAGATTGATGTTGAATGATTATATCATATTTATTTGTAGGATTTTTTTGCAACATCTCATGATGCACTTTATCTTTTGGTAAATTTTGAATGATGTATGAAATAAAAATATTCATATTTATTTTCAGATTGCATCAAGTGTAACTATTCATTATTGTCGTCTTCCGGGACAAATTGCTGGTGGAGTAAGTTTTATAAACTACTACTAAATAATTGATATTTTATTTAAAATTTAGGTTATGGGAATTTTTGCATTTATATTTTTGGCTGCTGATGCTGTTGCTATTTTCTTAGCTCGACGAGATGAACCAGTTTCTAACAGCAATGGTGTTCGATAATTTATTCACAAAATATTGCATTTTCATAATAATGAAGTATATTAAAATATGTTTTTCTTACCAAAGAAAAGAATAAATCATTTTCTTGTTTTTCGTGTTTTTTTATTTGTATAAATATACATCTATCGCATGATTCTTTGTCTTACAGATATGTAAATGAACATTCTCCACTTATTGTAAAATAATACTTCAATTAAGAAAAGAATGAATGATCCTTTTTAAGAAAATATATTTGTGTCACCGATTGATTCTGATATATAAAATCACAAATCTAATCGAAGCAATCGGGTTTCAGTAAGAACAGAAGAGAAGAATATAGTCCCTGAATGCAATACCATATACGAAAATTACTTCATAAAATTGATCTAGTATTGTCAATGATTCATCATATCAACAAACAACTTTTTTAGGATAGATAAGCTATCAATTTCTACATTTTACACGATTCAAGTAAAAGTGTAAAGTATGTACATGTTTGACATTATCGAAACAAATTGGTTATAGTTATTTTCTCTTGAATTTAAAAAAACCTTTTATTCTGATGAAATTACTCAAGAAACAGAACATGATTCATTATATTACACAAGAAGTAAACGTTTACTATGTAATATATGCATTCTATCAGACTATATTAATAGATGAAAACATGTTTAATGAGTATACTTACCACCACTGGGATCTTCTCGATCAAGAAAAAGAAACCCCTGATGGAGACGTTCTCATTGTACTATGGAACGTTGAAATCAGCAAAAGTTTCAGTGGGTCATTTTTCTACAGGGGTTGAGCGTTCGCGCTTAACCCTATATAATAAATTCCAACGAAAAAACAAAACTTCATATATCTAGTTTTTTTATATCATAATTTTATTCAATATTCATTTTATAAATGAGTAAAAGAAGTAAAAAACAAATACATATAATATTCGAAGATATAATCATCGAATTATTTGTTTTATGATTACTTTGTTTGTATAATTTAATCATATAAGTAAATGATGTATTAGAATCTAATGAATAATTTATATCTGATATATTAAAATTATATTTGAAATTTCTTTCATAATTATGTAAATAAAATCTTGCTTGTAGATCAATAAAAGATTGTCGTGTTGCATTTGACATATCAAAATAAATTAAACTTTGAAAATCACGATTTGTTACTAAATATATATTAAATTGTGTATGTAATGATGGATTACGACGTCGTTCATCGATTTGACAATGTATATAATTAATTGTACGAAAAAATCCATCATCTATAAAATAATTTGATATACGTGTATCCATATTACTTAATTCAGGTATGTACGTATTTGAATCATTTGTTAGCGGTGAAATAACTGGTGGATGACATATATTTCTAATATGACCTGATATAGAATTATTTAGACTAGTACGATCATTAAGAAATATATTTAATTCTGTCCATAATTTATTTGAATAACTGTGATTTCCATATGATAATTCTAAAGACCATTCATTCATTCGAGTACGAACAATAAGATTTTCATAACGTTGTCGATTAAACATAAATTTTGTATTGATTAAAAAACGTGTTTCAAACCAATCATCTTCTGACCATTGTGTAAAATTAGTTCCATCAGAAGAACTTACAAGAGTATATCCAACATTTAGTTGATAAATAATAAAAATATATAATATTTGCCATAGTGATGGCTGATACATGATGAAATGAAAAAAAAAAAGAAAATGAAAGGAATAATATTGATTAATAAATGCTACCTTTATAAGCGCATAGAAATATATACTTTGATATTGGATACGATAGTTTTTGTTTTGTTTTATGAAATACGTCATTTGAAGGTAAAAGAAATGATTTTATTCAATAGATCATTTTACTTGTTGATCTATTTTATATTCAAAAATATGAAAAAAACAAAAAGTGATGGTCGTGGAATGGTAACGGTGTGTTGTTTCATGTAGTTCCATTTAGATTAACCGCTACCTTCGGACCACCAATTCTGATCATATTGTAACTGATTATTATGTTGAAAATACTTTGATATTGAGTAATAACATAGAACACTTCCTAATGGTAACAGGAAGAATATGTACATACTCATAATTGTAGATCGAGTCTATTTTACAGAACAAAAAGGATGTCCTTTTTGATAGAAAAGTTCATCGACAACATTTGCTTTATTCAATATTTGATTAACATAAAATCAATATTTTGATGATATCAATGGTATTTTATAGCAGAAAGATTTTGTTGTGAAATGTATTCTCAGTGATAGCGCATCATCTCTATACCTCTTATCTTTTTTTTGCATCACTGATAAACAAAATTCAAGAAAGCATTGTCATGCTTGCCTATATATACGAATGAATATGAAACATTATTAACAACAAAATCATGTCTACATCTTATTTATCACAGGATGAAATTAATTCATCATCACTATCAGATCCCGATAATCGAGATCCACTGAAAATCAACAAACATCTTCAGGTATACAAAAACGAACCAAATTAAAAATCTTAAATATTATGTTTTTTTTTTATTATAGCTTGATTTTTTCAATGTTATTGCTGAACCTGATCCAAGTGCATATAGTTTTGAAGTTTTTCATAAAGTTTCACATCAAGTATATCATTATACGAAAATAATTATTTATCGTTTATTAACTGTTCTTATTGGTTTACCATTAATGGTATGTTGGGGTCTAATATTTGGTATTTATACATTTGCAATGATTTGGATTGCAGTACCAATGCGTCGATTAGTTCAAACATGGATTGCTGAAATAGGTATTAATGTTCAAACGCTAAGTGATGCGGTTATTGCACCAATACATCGTTCAATGGGACAAATGTTTTCCAGTATACGTATATCTCTTAGTAAAGAGAATATTCATTCAGCACGACAAATTTTAGTGTAACTAAATAAATATTTAAAATAAATGGTATTAACTGAGATTCTTTTGAACTATAACAGGAGCGTGCGCAATTTTCACAAATAAATATTTAGATAACAAGTGTATACTATGATCAAGAAGAACTTAAATATGTCATTATTTACTTATGATTTTAACACAGTTATCTTTACCTTTGTTCTTACTCATTTTCAGAAATCAAGATAAACTACTGACATACTTTTAGGTTATTTGTGTAATTAAATACATAATATACTGTACATGAAATTTTATTGTTAAAAAACAACAGTACAAGAGAGTCTTATTTGACTATATGTCTATCGTAGTGTTGTTAGCATAAACTGCAATACATCTGATTGAAGCATAAGATAAAGAGTATGATTGTATAGGATGGCAGAAAAATATGTATTCAAATCGAACTTCAATTAATCAAAAAATAATCATATCTTTCTTATTGACATTTCATATCAATTACAAAGCACGATATGTTACTTATACTTTTGAAATTACATGCAAACATGTGTAATGCAAGTTTCTGCTGTAAGAAAATTGATAACATGATTCATTATATTACACAGGAAGTAAACATGGGATCTTTTCGATCAAGACTACAGGGGTCGAGCGTTCGCGCTTAACCCTATATAATAAATTACAAGTTTCTTAGAATTTGTTATAAAATAAGAACCGGAAAGTTTTTGATTTATTTTTTCGTCTATGCAGACAATAAAAATAGTATAAAATTTATCGCAGATGGAAAAAAAGCACACATAAAAAAGAAAAGTCGCCTGCAATTTGTTTTATTTGAATATTTTTCCTTGATTAAATTTTTTACCATTATGTTCACCTTCCCAAAGAAAATATTGATTAACTAATTTTTTCGTATTTTCATCATCAACAGATAATCGTTTCCATGTATAAGAATCAGAATCAACTTGCCAATCTGTTGAAAGCTAAATTAATATAAAAATGAAATGATATAAATAAATTTTTCAAAAGTTTTTTTTCTTACTTCAAAAGCAAGTTCATGTCCACGCCATACCCAAACACCAGCAATTGTATTATCATTATTTTCACCAAAAACACACATGCTAGCAAATGCATTTTTACGTAATTTTTCTAAGCGTTGATACATTCCTGATACTAAATTGCATGTCATAAATACTTGTTTTAACTCATCAGGAAATTTATATTCACAAAACCATATTGAACAATGAGCAGTATCAAAATTTTGCCAAAAATATGGTAGAGCTTTTTCAGCAGTATCTTCATTAGAATAGACACGTTTGAATTCATCCATATTAAATGTTGATTTAGGCATATCAGCAAATGGATCTTTTTGTTTTGGTTCATCGGCATAAACCTCATCAGTTTCATCTGCTACATCAGCTGTTGTCTCAACTTCTTCTTTTTTCTTCGTTTCTTTTTCTTTCTTTGCTGGTTTTTCTTCTTTTTTCGATGATTTCTTTTCTTCAGTTTTTTCACCTGAAGCTTGTGAGAAATTCTTTGGACATGGTTGAGTTTGTGGTATATGATCACGACGTGAAAGTTCAGCATATTTCTTTGCTATAAACAAATATTCTAAACTGAGTCACTCATTTCAGAATTTAAAACTTACCATCGAATTGTGCTGTCTTGTCACATAATTTAATATCAGTACCAATAACTGCTTGAAATTCTTTTTGATGAATTAATGTTAAAAACCATCGTGTTACATTTCGATATGTTTCACGCATACTTGATTCAATAATCTAAATTGAATTAAATTTAAATAGAGAAAAAAAGTTTCAATGAATTTTCATACCCATTGAAATAATAAAAGTAAATCACAAGCAAGTGTAATATCAGCTAATGAAATACGTTCACCAACAAAATATGTTCGTGTACGAAGATATTCATCAAGTATTTGTAAAATATGTTTAAGTTCATCTTTAGCACGTTGATCATTATTTTTATTAAATTGTAAAATACCCATACATGGATAAACTAATGTACATGCTACTGGATATATTTCACGTTCAGCATATTCAGTCCATTGTAAAACTTCCGATTGTTCAGATAATGTTTTACCACGAAGTTGTTCATTTGAAACTAATTGAAATATAATAATTTATTACTATTGAATTACGACGGAATAATAAACTTACGATAATATGCAATAGCATTTGATTCGAATAGATAAACACCAGCATCATTTTCATATGCAGGTACCTAAAATAGGAGATTTTATTTTTCTTAGATTTTAAAGAAATTCATACTTTTCCTGTTGGGAATTTGTTCACGTATTCTTCTGATCGATTTGTTTCATTCATTTTGAATTTATCATCATTCGCAACAGTTAATTGTGCACCACTGTATTGTGCAGCAATTTGAGCTTTATAACCACGGATATTACCAGAAAATGTATAAAGAGTCTAGAAATAATCGTATTTAAATCATATATAAGAGAAATTCATTTATTCTTACGCCTTTGCCATGACTTGACGCCATAGTTTCGATTTTGTTGATGAAAAAAGAGATAATAGATGGTTAGAAAATCTAGAGTTTAAATAGGAAAAGTTCGAGAATAGTTACAAAATCTTACAAATAAGCTGATGAAATAAAAATCAAATTTGCTTCTCTTTTCTTCTGTACTCTTCCTCGGATATTAAATGGAGGCTAATGTTTACTAACATTAGATTGGTTGAATAAATGGACAAATGAATAAGTGAATGGTGAAAGATTGATTTATTCTTTCTTTTTTTTTCGTCATGCCGCGTAGTCGAAGCCGTAGTCCAAGAGGAGGTATGTTAACGTATATATATATATATAATTATTAATTATTTAATTTAGATCGACATGCTAGTAGTCGATATCGTGGAGGAGGTGGACCACCATCAAATTCTGGAAATAGTCGAAGACGAAATAGTCGTTCACGATCACCAAGAGACCGTGATCGTCCACATCGTGATCGTTATCAGCAACGTTCTGAACGTCCTAATAAACGTTATTCACGATCTCGTTCACGTACTCGTTCACCATCACCAAAAGCATTTGGAAATAAAATAGTTGATAAACGCAATGAACCAGCACAACGCATTTTTGATCGTATGAAAATTTTTATTTGTTTTTATAATACTATTTTTTTGTTCCATTTTTTAGCTTCGGAATTACAAGGTAAAACAGAAGATGAAATTGAAATGATGAAAACAATGGGTTTTGCATCGTTTGATACAACTAAAGTAAGTTATATTATTGCCAAAAAATAAACAATTTTTTCTATTAAAATCTTTAGGGTAAACATACTGAAGGTTCAACTAATGCTCATGGAACTAGTATTCAACAAAAACGACGTTATCGGTAAGAAAAAAATAAAAAAATTTATTTCATTAGTTTATAAATTTATTTTGTTTAGACAATATATGAACCGAAAAGGTGGTTTCAATCGTCCTTTAGATCCAATTGCTTAAATGATGTATTTTACTGTCATATATATATATACATGTTTGTCTGTTTGTTGTTTTTTTGTTTCATAATAAAACGATATTCGTGTACTTCTCTTTTTTTTTTGTTTGTTTGTCTTATCTCAAATAAAATATCTTTGTAGAAATGGATCGTCTATATGGAACTCATAAGCCAACAGGTTTAGTACAAAAAAGTATTTTAGCTGTTGGTTCAGGTATAATGTCTATAGCTGATCCATCACGTGATGATATGATATCGATATTTGGTGAGACAACAGGTGGTTTAGCTTTAAAATATATGCAAGAAAAAATGGTTATTGATCCAGAAGGAGATCGAATACTTAAGTAAAAGATATTTTTAGAATAATTTAATATCATTTCTTTTTGTATTTTCATCATAGAGAACGACCAATAATAAATTCTAAAACTGTAGATTTAGAATATTTAAAAACACTTCCAATTGGTACACTTGGTAAAACATATTCAAATTTTTTAGGGAAATATGTAAGTACCAAAATGTAGCATCTTTTATTTAATTTTTTTCAATTTTGAGAGAATTTAACACCAGATGCTCGTCGTCCTGTTTCATTTATTGATGATAGTGAATTAGCTTATATAATGCGTCGTTATCGTGAAATTCATGATTTAACTCATGTAACACTTGGAATGCCTATTAATATGTTAGGTGAAGTTACAGTGAAATGGTTTGAAGGTATACAATATGGTTTACCAATGTGTGTACTTGGTGCATTTTTTGGACCGCTACGTTTAGGTCCAAAACATACGGCGAAATATCTTCATTTAACACTACCATGGATAGTACGCACAGCTCGTCAATCACGTTCATTTATGAATGTTTATTTTGAAAAACATTGGCATAAATCATTAAATGAATTTCGTCGTGAACTTAATATATTAGAACCTCCACCAAAAATCTGATTATATTTGTTATCCTTCGTAGTCTTTATCTGTTTGAATAGAAAACAAAAAAAAATAGAAATATTGTTTTGTTTGATTATAGACAATGAAAAATATGTAAACTTGTTCATTTATTTTAGATAAAAAGTATGAAATTTATGAGTAGACATGTATTGTGATTGAATTTAAGATGATACTTGAAATATATTGAAAGAATTACTGATTATAATTTTGTAAATGACGAAAATTTCAAAATTTATTGTATATATTAACTGTTTTGTCATTTTATCCTGTTCTATGTGGTATAGATGTATCTGTCATATTGGTTGTTACCCCTTGAGAAAAAAAAGATCTTCTTTTTTTTTGCTATAACTAGATGATGATGATGATGATGTACTTTGCTTTCTTTGTTTCAGATTGGCTATGACATAAACATCGTCGTCGATTTTTCTTCTTTCCATTGCGATACTTTGAATCGATCACTTGCTTTGCTTTTTTGCTTATCTTAACGATACTGCATGTATTTGACACTCGTGTGTGCTTGATGTCGGATGTTACTTGCGTATTCAGTTTTTTCTCTCTTCGTATATAACTATATGTCTACATACATACATACATATTATATATATGTATATGTTTTTCTATGTGTATTTTTCCAAGAATCATCATCATCATCATTTACCGTTGACGATGTCGAGTCAACGAAGAAGATATAGATCACATATCTTTCGTCTTATATACAAGCATTGTCTACTGTCTGTCTGACAATCCTTTCATTAAATGCAAATTAAGTTGGGTAGGTTAGTGAACATTGTTTATGAGTATTTGACGTTCTGATCATGTTCTATACATGCATCCAATTTCTTTTCTTTCTTTTCTTTCTTTCTTCTTTTTTCTTTCTTGATGAATATTAGTTTATAGATCTCAATTTTGACATCATCAGCTGTCACTATAGAGAAGGTGAATGAAATAAAACAAACGAGAACTTATAAATATATATATATATATATATATATTATCGTTCTATATTTGATTGTCTGTTGTTATTCAGCTGTATGTCACAATCAGTACGCATGTCTTATAATTTTTTATATATGCATGCATGCTGCGTCCAAAAAGCAATGTAAATGGATTGTAGTAGTAGCGGTAGGATTGTAGAGAGAAAAAATTGGAGCAAAAAGAAATGAATAGTGTGTGTGTGTGTGCGTTGTCGTCCTCGTCTATAATATGATCGCAGTATATCTCCACTGACACACACACACACACAAACATGCGCGAAAGGTTATTGTTTTCACATCTTCCCTCGACGACAACGACTACTACTACAAGCAATTCAAGAAAAAAAATGGGTATATATATATTTGTATGTATATTATCTTTCATCATACTATATGTCTAAAAAGTAAGTAAAGAGAACGACAAGTGACCATTATTAAAATCATAAACGAATGAGAAAGTGTTACCATTGAACGAGTTCGAATAAGTAGGCGGTCAATCAACAGACAATTATTCAGATCAGTGTTGTTCTATTCAGACGAGAAAAAAGAAAGAAAAGGAGAGAGAAACAGAAAGAAAAAAAAAGAGATGATTTCAGATTCAGCTCGACAAATCATCATCATCATCAACGACAGCAGCAGTATCTTTCTCTCTCTCTCTCCCATTCACAATGGTAGAGTGTGCCAATGTTCTTTTTTTTTCTTCTTTTTCTTAGTCTATCTGCCTGTCTGATTGTTGTTGTGTGTTACTACACGAAAGATGTGGTGTGTCTCTCCATAAAAGATATAAATCTGCTTATAAGAAAAACAGAGCAGACAACGACGATGTATGTGTATACGAGCGCGCGTCGATGAGAGAGAGAGAGCAGAAAAAGTGGCACACACAATAACGTAGCAGCAGCGAACGGTTTTGTTTAAACGCGAAAACCTAAAAATGAGGGGGAGAGAGAGAGAGAAGGAAGAGTTATGTGCTTGCCTTTTCTTAGTGTGTATGTGTGTATGTGTGTGTGTGTGTGTGTGTGTTGTCATTCATTCTCTTATTCTTCCTCTTCAATGCCATGCTACGTCTATACACCGGCATGACACAAACAGTATGTACACGGAAAATTACTATTATTGCTCGTGACTTGTATGTTGATGATGTTGCTAGTTATTTGACTGTCAAATAATAAAAATAGGTAAAAAATAAGAGGGAGAGAGAGAGGAAAAAAAGAATTTGATCGATTGTTCTATTGATGTTCGACAAGCCACGTGTAGTTTTTTTTATAAGTATTTGTATACGTTTAACAAAAGAAATGAAGTTAGGCAGTGAAAAATGTGTAAGTAATCGAGAAATACACATATACACAACTGATGTGCTGCATGTTCGGCGATTTGTCTGCTTTATTCATACACATACAAATATATATATATATATATACATAGAAGTACAATGCATACGTCAACATCAAGTGCAAATAGATGAAAAAATATATAGAAACAACTCCCTTGTACTCTCTCTCTCTCTTTTTCTCTCGATACTTTAGCTGCCTTCATCTTACCATTGCGATTAGAAGTCAGTATTACAACGACTATACACTATTCTCTATGATCATTATCATCAATAAGACAAGCAGCGAACGAGACTAGCGTGCAAGCGCATTTTTGTTTTACAAAAAAATGGGGATCGCCCTTCTTGACGTTGACATCGTCTCTTCTGCTATTGAGCATTTTACTTGTTCTTGTCTCTGTTTTATGTTGTGTGTGTGTGTGTGTGTGTGTGTGTGTGGCGGGCAGATACTGTTTCCGGTTAATTGCGGCGGTCGTCGTCGATTTTTCCCCTTATTCTTTTCACGCACACTCACACATGCCGCTCATTTTCTTTTCCCCGTTATTTTATTGCCAAAAAAAGAAAACGAGAAATATTTTTATTCTTCATATATACATACTTGTTTTAATTCTTTCTTCATTTTTTTTCTTCTACTTCGTCTTATTCTTCTTATGTCATAACTCATCCTTTCCTTTTACTTCAATCTTATTTGTTGCATACCTTTTCTTTCTTATAATATATATATATATATATTAAAAAAAACGTTTTTCTATTTCCCTTCGTCGTCTTCTTTTTTTTGACACACGCAAACTAACTCAATCTTTTATCGAATGTCATCACATCTATAAGAAAAGCAACTTTAGCTAGTGATTCGAGAAGAAAATCAACATACATCCAGGCAACAAAATCAAATTAAGACACATACACAGCTTATATGAATATATGCATGCATGTATAAAGAAGAAAAGTGTCAATAATGGATGTTGAACGTCGACGACGGCAAGCGGGCACAACCTTGTATGAGTGTTCGTTTCTCTCTCTCTCTCCATCTCTCTCTCTCTCTCACTCACTCATGCCACACCATCACTGACCGATGAGAAAGAATAATGTATATGCCGTTTTATTTCTAGATGTGATGTTCACACGACGGATGCTCTATGTAGCAACAAAAGACAAAGAAAGATTCATCTTTCATTCCCGGTGGTCGTGTGTATTGTATGTGCACTTCTTATTCATTCTCTAATCAGCAATAACAACGACCATGAGTAACAATAGCAAAGAAACGATGACTAAAAAACAACAAGATGAACTTACTTCAAGTTTTAATAGTAATATTCATTTATAATTTATCTAATATTATTTTTTTATTGATATTATCAATGTTTAGATCTACCCTGGAGTCTCCCATTAGGTTTCTCATCATTATCACCATTTGGTGCATTTCCAGGTTTTGGTTTACCTACACCTAATTTTCCTTCATTGAACAGTTTTGCTTCATCATCAACAACTGGTTTTCCTCCTTCACTTCTATCAAATGATTCGACTAATCCATCAATACCAGCTGATATATGGTCAAATGGATTATCAGCAGCTAATAATTCTGTTGATTACAATGAGTATGCTAAACAATTAGGTTTTCTTATGAATGCATTTACTGAACAACAACAACAACAGCAGCAGCAGCAACAACAACAACAAATAGATAAATCAAAAAGTATAATTTCAAAAAACATTTTATTTCATTTATTCAAAAAACTAAAATATTATTTTCTTTATATTTAAGCTTCATCAACATCTAAACATTCAAAAACCAAACAATCTCATACTCCTTCAACATCATCTTCACCGGATGTTCATAATAGTAAAAAACATGGTGATTCTCGTCGTTCATCTTCATCAAATAAATCTTCATCACGTTCTAAAACATCATCATCAAATCCTCCTTCTTCTCTTCCTTCTTCTACTCCTAATCTCTCATCTTCAAACAAAACTTCTACAAATAGTGATTCAACTATGCTTGATCCATTAGCATTTGCTGCAGCTGCTGCTGTAGCTAGTGGTGGTCTATCATTTCCTTATTTTCTTCCATCGTTACTTTCACAAACACCTTCAACAACAGGAACGAATAATAATCCTTCGACGTATCCATTTTCAAATTTATCAACATCATTGACAAATCCAACTGCTGGTCTTTATCCATTTCTATCACCTGATTGGTTTACATCAGCACCCCCAATAGGAAATATAACTCCTGGTAAAATATATATATATACTTAACTTCCTGTTAATGTAATGAACCATCTTAATTTCTATTTAAAGATTCTAAACAATCAAAAAAACGTTCAAAATCAATTCGAACATTAACTGAAGAACAAGACAAAAATTCTTCAAGTCTTCTTCATTCAGCATTAGTATGTTTTTATAATCTTCCTTTTGTTACTTAGACAAAATAAAACTATTTGAATTCATTTAGTCTGATCCAATAAATGCTAATGGTTTACGTTTAAGTCGTCGAAGTAGTACAAATGATACACCAATTGATGATTCAAGATCAAATGATGATGGTAAAAATTGATTTCTATATTTCATGGAAAAATGAATAGAAGAATATTTTAGATGATTCTGATCCAAATCCAAAACGAAAAAAAACTGATGAAGTTAATGAAACACTTGTACGAATACCATTAAATCGCGGGTATGTTTTTTGAATAAATAAAATTTTGTTTTATAATTTCTATTTAATTTTAGATGGAAACGTGTAACAATTGTTCGAGCAATAACACGTACTGGTGTACGTGGTGATGTTTCATATTATGCACCATGTGGAAGAAAATTACGTTCATTTCAAGAAATTGATCGAGTATATTTTCATAATTATTTTTTGATTTTTTCTATGTAAAGTTTTATTTTTATTTTAGTATTTATCAAAAAAACATATAACAGATTTAGATCGATCAAATTTTACATTTAGTTCAAAAGTACATATAGGATTATTTCATGAACCAAAAGAAGGTCCCGAGGGAAAAGTAAATATAAATAGATTGATTTTTAAGAAAATAAATGATTTCTTTTTAGACACTTTTTCAAGAATCAACTGAAGATGAAATTGTTAATCGTATATTAGAAATAAATCCAAAATTTCGTCGAATTGAATCAGTTTCTAGTCCTTCTGTAACACCCAGTAATGGTACAAATGATCATCATGATGATAATAATCGAAAAATTCGTTTAGAACAAGAAGGTTGATTATTTTTATTTTATTTATTAAAAATATTTATTTTCAAATTATAGAAATATCTAAACGTGCAAGTGAAATTAAAAATAAACGTGATACAATGCATTTAATGCGTAATGTAGCAAGTGAAAGTTCAAAAATATCTGAATCACAATATCAACATAATGAATTTATTAAAGCTATCATTGAACAACAAAAAATAGCTCAACAACAAGAATATGAAAATAAACAAAAAATGCAGCAAGAACAACAAGTATGCTTTTATTTATTCATTCAAATGATCTATTCTCTAAATAAGAGAACATAGGTCAGATATATTATGAAAAACTATTCTAAATGTTCTCCTTGAATACAGGAAACGATATGTAATTTAGCATGAACATCCAGGCCGAGATACTTAGCAAAAATGAGACGAGTTTGAAGTATATCTTTAGCTTAACCGTAATTGTTTTTGCCTATTGTAATAAAAGTATTATTCTTAATAGTGTCATTGAGACAAGATAGAATTTTTTACTGGAATTTGAATTCATGAGATAATTAATATAGATTTAAGGTGAAAGAAAAATAAAAAAATATTTGTTTTCTTAGGAACAAGAACGTAAACGTCAAGAACTTGTTTATTTAAAACAATTAGAATTAAAAAAACGTCATGAAGAAAAACTTTTAATACTTGAACAACGTAAAGCAGAAAAGAATGCACAACGTGAAAAGAAAATTGTATGTTATTATTACTAATTTTCTTTTTCGTGTTTCTATTCTATTTAATATATCTTTTTTTAGCAAGAAAAATATATGGAAATAGTTCTTGCAAAAGAAACAAAACGTATTGCTGAAGATATGCAATTAAGAGATCTTAAAGTAAATATAATTAAGATTTTTTTGTCTTTTAATATTATTATTATTTAGCCATTACCAATATTAAAACCGGTTGAAAATATGCGTTTATCAATTGAAGGATTTGCAAATTGTTTAATGATTATTGAATTTCTTAATAATTACAAACATATTCTTAATATTCGTATGTTAAACCCTTATATTTTCATTTTTTATATATTTTTCTTTTAGCTGATAATTTAATTCCAACATTAAATAATTTACAACAATCATTATTAAATTCTTCATTATCAAGAGATTTAAATTCACTTTGTCAAATATTACTTCGTATTGCATTAGAAGATCCAGGCATTCCAAATCCGAAAAAAGCTTTAACTAATCTTGGACAAAAATTATCCGAAATCGATATAACTGAACATACATTTGGAGAAATTTTACGTATATATATAAGAGAACGTAATGGGTTTGATGATAAATTAACTCAAAGTTTATCCGATACATCATTTCAAACATTAATAGCTGATGAAAAAGCAGAAATTTTAGCATTTTTATGTAATGATTTATCAACCAATAAACGTGTAGTTGAGTAAGTGAAACATGCAAATTTTTCTTTTATCTTAAAAATTGAAGAGATCAAATTTCTATCAGATATAAAAACATCCTATATGTTAAAAAAATCATTAGTGAAATCGAGATCAATATTCTAGAACTTATCTTGTTATAGATAAGGACAGAAAAGTTTAAATAGAAAAAATTGATTATTTAATATATAATTATGTTTCTATTCATATGAGGAAATAAATTTTCTTTCTTTTTTTAGTGAAATTGATCGTAATCTTGATGAATTAACAAGTTTAAAACATGAAAAATGGGAAATTGAAAAACGTTTACGTCGTTTAAAATTAGAAAAATATAATAATCCATCTAATAGTAATCCAAATGTGAAAAAAATGGCAACATTAATACGAGAAAAAGATATGAACAGTTCAGACAATGAAAGTCCAGATGAAAGTGATACTGGTATGTAGATTGTTTTCGTTTAAATATACCAAAGATAATCTATTTAATAGAATCTATAAAAATTGAAGATGATACAGCAATTACTAATGATCCAGCAACAACAACAGCTGATGATCAAGATATTGAAACACTTGATGAAACAAAAATCGATGATTTAGATAAACGTTTAGCACTTGTTACACGAAAATATATTTTAATTAAACGTCGAGTTATTGATAAACAATGTCGTACACGTGCACTTCATCTTGGACAAGATCGTTATCGTCGTCGTTATTGGTATTTTTCACATTTACCAGGAATTTATATTGAAGGTCTGACATCAGGTGACATACCAGCAGATAATATTCTAAATATTGTTGAAAATGTCACTAAACAAAAACTTGATAATAAACCAATCATAACTGGAAATGAATGTAATTCATCATCACGTTCAACACAACGTAAAAAACAACAACAACAACAGGCGAGAGTAACTAATGTAACTCCACCACCATTATCTGTAAATTCTATTGAACAATCTACTCCGATTGAATCGAATAAAATAAAAACGGAAAATAGCGATAACGAAGAAGAACAACAACAACAGCAACAGATAAATACAACAACTAATACGACAGAAGATTTCGCTACAATGGATTTATCTGCTTTTTGTATGGCAGCACAACGAGATAATGATGTACAAGACGTTGCTACGGTAGTTGAGGAAAAATCTATTATAAATGGGTATGTTATGATCTAAGAAATTAAATATCTAAAGTCAGTTGAGACTTAACTTGAATCTAGACTTTTACTCTCAAAGCGTCTCATTTTTTAGTCCGAGCTAAAATTCGGTACATCCCAGTTCATTGTTACTAATCGAGATAAACATATACTTAACACTAGTAGTACCGCCCTCAGTTATACAGTTTTATTTTACTATGAATGAGTCCTGTCAATGAATTTTAATGTGATTGTCTGTCCTATTAAAAACCAATGCCCTAAGCGAAAAATTGAGGTTCATTTCTTATCAACACATCTTTCTGTCGCGATCGTTTTGGATTCACTCTTGTCTTGGCTCATACACATCCTACACTCACTCGTACTTCAAACTGCATAGTTAAACTCGCCCGACCCTTGTCCGTAAAAATTACGAAATATTCCAAAAGTTTATCATATTGTTACATTTATCACTAGTGGGGTCAAAAATGATCCCGGCTGGTACTACTAGGATCAATGTCAAATCAAAAACAGATCTTCCACATATATAAATACATTATTTATATTTAGAACATCAACTGCTGTCGAAATCAAACCTGAACCGAGTGATGAATTAACTTCTAAACGTGAAATATCTGATGATAATCTTCCACTTGATCTTTCATGTTCAAAATCTAAACGTTCATGTCAAGATGATTATTGGACATCTCAACATCCTCAAGCTGCATATCCATTAACAAATAATATGGATCAATTTCAAGAATTAAATGATCTTGCTACAGCTGCTATATTATTAAATAATATAAAACATGAACAAACAAATCTCAATACATCACAAAAAAGTATACTTGATTTAACAAATACAAATTTACAAAATTTAATTTCGAATCAATTAATGCCATCATTTAATTATTCATCACCAATTAAACAAGAATCATCTACAACGAATTTTAAACAAATTGAACAATCAATTAGAGAAAAATTTCAATATCCACAACCATTACCTATTCCCGATGGTATGTAATACTAAAGAATAATTTATTCTAAGCTAGGTTAGTTTTTGACTGTATAAATCGATTAGTTATAATTCTATAATAAAAATTTCTGAAAGAATGAAAAATATTAAACTCGGATCTACTTATCTATGAGAATATTGACTTGGAAATAAAATCTTCTATTTTTAGATGTTCAATCTGGTTGGTGGTTAATTCAAACACCTGAAGAATTACGTTTATTAATAAAATCTTTAGCTAAACGTGGTCAACGTGAAAGATATTTATGTCGTATGCTACAACGTTATTCTGATGTTATAACAAATTCAATGTCAAATATAAAACTTGATAATTCATCTATATTAACTGAAAATGAAGTTGATAATGAGAATGATGATCAACAACAAAATTTGAATGATTTTATTGAAAATGAGAATCAAAATTTTGATGATACACATGAAATGGATGTATTAAATGAAATATATAATTTATCTGATCGTATTATTGCATCAAGTCTTCATTGTCGTTCATATGATATAAATTCTACACGTAAACGTTTAACATATTCGGATATTCAAGCTAAAGGTACAGATATTCTTGATGAAGCAAAACATTTATTAACTGATATTGAACGTAATATTGAACGACGTTATTTAAAACATCCATTTGTTCGTAAATATGAAATAAATCTATCATCATTAAATCGTATTAATCAAAATAGTACATATCATCATACACAAGAAAATTCAACCAATGAAATCGTATCATCATCGAAATTTGATGAAGTACCACAACAACTTGAACGTTGGAGACGTACAGTTAATGAATCACGTACACCAGCACAATTAGCATTATGTTTAACACAATTAGAACGATGTATTGCATGGGAAAGATCAATAATGAGAGTTTATTGTGAAATATGTAATTCCGATGTTGATGAAGAAAAATTATTATTATGTGATGGATGTGATCATGGTACACATACATATTGTTTTATACCACCCATGTCATTTATACCACCAAATGATTGGTATTGTTATGTTTGTATTGGAAAAGCGAAAGGTGAAAATTTATGTTTTGTTTGCGGTAATAAAGGTGATAATCAATTGAATCGATGTGAACATTGTGGAAAATTATTTCATGAAGAATGTTTAAAAAATGCTAAACAACAACGAGGAAAATGGTTATGTGTTTTATGTACAGCTAATGATAGTACGGCATTAATAGCAAGTTTAACTGCTGGAAATAATAATACGAAATGGGTATGTTCAAATAAAATTCAGCCGATAAACTAAGAGAAAATCTATGAGTAGATCGAAAAAACGATGATAATTGAGATAGATATGATTGGAATTCACCATTTTCTTCATTTTATTATTCTTTTTATTTTTTTTTAATAGCAAATGGGTCGTCAAACATCTCGTTCGACAAATACATCAGCGAATGCTACAAATAATTCCACATTAAAATCTCGTCAACCATCGATTAGTTCAACGACTTCTGTAACAAATACCAATGGTGATTCATTAAATAATTCATCTTCATCAAATCGTAATCGTTCAAATAATACGAATAATAACAATAATAATAATAATAATAATCGTAAATCAAAACCTCGTAATAGTTCACATAATATTGAAAGTTCAATTTTACAAGAATCACATTCAAATTCATCTCATACCGATGCAATAACAATGAGTAGCCTTAATGAATCATCATCAATTCAATCACCGTTAAATACTGCTGATATCGATGATGATGATGATGATGATAATATTCCATCACCAACCATGGGCGGTACAAATAATAACAATAATAATAATAATAATAATAATACATCAAAGAAAAAACCATCTCGAAAATCAAAACCTAATACTGATAATAATGATATAAAAGCTTGCAGGTAAAGAAAATAAAGTAAACTTTAAATTTGAACTTTTTTTTTCTTTTTTTTTTAAGAAATATTCTAAATGAATTATTAAAAAATGATGCATCATGGCCATTTCAAACTCCTGTTGATGCTAAACAACATCCGGAATATTATGAATGTATAAAAACTCCAATGGATTTTGCTACAATGAAAAAGAAAATGCGTAATCATCAATATACAAAACGTGATGAATTTTTTAATGATGTACAATTAATATTAAATAATTGTGAATATTATAATGAAGATGATAGTCCAGTTGGTGAAGCTGGTCATGGTTTACGAACATTTTTTGAAACACGATGGGCAAAACAATTTGGTTAAATTTTGCTCTTTTTTTTCTTATGTGCCATTGTAAATACGACAAATGGTTTTTGTTGAATCTCTTTCTCTCTTTGGCCAGAATGAAAAATAAACCAAATAAATAAAATGAAAACAAAAAAACGTTTATTGTATTGTGCGTATGTCTCAGATAAAAGAAACAAATTTATGCGTTTTTTTTCTCTTTTTCGCGATCAAGTAAAACCAATCAATGATGATGTTTCTGTTTTTTTCTTCTTTCGCTCTCTCTCTCTTTCTCTCTTCTCTCATTTACTGTTGTTTTTTTTTCTTTTGTCATTACACAGTATTTTGTTGTATATCATCATCTATCCTGTCAGATCGTCAATGTTTTGTTTGTATGTGTGTCTAGTTGAACAAAAAAAACGAATAATAATAACTGTGTGGTGGATAAATGACGAAATGAAATATATATATATAGAGATCATTTATTTATAAATTGAAATAATTCTTTTGTCATTATTCAAAGAAGAAACACCAAAGAGGAGATCTTAGAATGTTGTATGTTGAAACATGAATATGCACTGAAACAGTGCAGATATATGATCTACAAACTGATGTATCACAATGGACTAAAAGACGTTTCATCGACGCTTACGAACGAAAAAGAAAATCGGAGTCAAGTTCGTGAGCTTTGATAAAACGCCACGTGACCCATCGCGATACATCAGTTTGTAGAGAAAATGTCAGAGAATAATACTTCGAAGTTAAAAAATCTTTAGCGTGAAACTCGAATGATGGAGAAGCATTTTAATTGACTCAGTGCAGAACTTTAAATAAAGTTTAGCTTGAGTATTTTCTTTACACGCAGCTGTTTCCACTATCGCTTCATGAGAAGTCCTCAATATTTATTAATTTAGTTGTTCCATGAATTTTATTATAGAAATCATTGTATATATCGAAATAATCAGAAATCGAATTTCAGTCTACTAGAAAAAACCTACATTAATAATCAAATTATATGTTCGTATTTTTAATGATTTATCGTACAACTAATATTCTTTCGTTGAACTTCAATTAATCGAAATTGTTGAGCTTGTTCTCTATCATTTGTACATGCACATAAATGTGAAGATATATTATTAACGTAAAAATATCCTGTTGATAAACGTGTTTGTAAAATAAATGTTGAATTTGTTTGCATACATTTTGTTTGATTATCAATTTGAATTATTTTTAAAAAACGATTCACTTGTTCCATTCCATATTTCATTCGAAAATATTTTGCATCAGATAAATAAAATTCGGGTTTATCACCATCAATTAATATTATATATTGTTCTGATCTTAAACAACGATGACGACGTGGTGTAGCATTATTTGTTAATATAAATAGTGAACCATTTTCATTCGATGAATTCCCGATGAGAATATTCCGATCATGTATTATGACAGGTAAATCAGTATCTGCTGTTACAATTTGTACATATGTAAGAACACCCGATGATCTATCTGGCCATTGATGTTTACTTAAATTAAAAAATCCAACAACTGGATAATGATCAGAAAGTTCTATTAATGGAATATTACGAGTATTATAAAACATTCGATTTTTACCAAGTAAATGCCATTGTTCAGATGCCATACGATCAATAATAAGATTATACCAAAGAGAATTATTTGGTGCATGATCTTTATAGACAAATATATAATCTAATAATTGATTTTGTTGATGTGTTGTTGTAGTTGTCATTGCATTAAATGAACTATCCCATGAACATAAAATACTTGATGGATATAAATCTTGTTGTTTAACACGTAATATATCAATCATTGTTTCATATTGTTCGATATTATATTTATCAATATTAAAATCACCAAGAAAAAAAACTAATTCATTTTTTGATATATTTCGTTCATCAAGAAAACCAATAATTTCATGCATTTGTTTTTCACGTATTTTTTCTTCACTTGATAAATAACAACCACGATGATCACTTGGTTGTAAATGTGTACTTATAATATGTATTGGATATTCATTTTTACCATATAATATTTGAGTATAAATAAAACCACTTCGAATAAATGTCCATCCACTACATGTATGTCTATAAAAATATTGTACAGCTTGAATAATTGGCCATTTACTAAGTATTGTTAAACCACCACTAAGAAATTTCAATGAACTTCGACCTATATCACGATTCCATGTTTCATCCCAATAATCTTTATCATCTTCAGTACCTAATATTGGTGTACTATATGGATATGTTTCCGATAATGAATCAAGTAAAATTTGACTTGGTTTCTTTTGAAATACTTCTTGTAAACAAAGTATATCATTTGAACGAAGAAATCTTGCTTTTGTTAATAAACGAGCACGTGTTATTTGATCACGTTCTAAGACAAGTAAACTTGGTACAAACATTACATTGTAACTCATTAATACTATTTGATTAAGATCATTGTGATCGTCGGAATCATCATCATTAGCTTTACAAAATATCAATAAAGCAAGTAATAGAAATCGTTTCATATTTGAAAATGAGAAGAGAAAAAGAAGTTTCGAATATTGTTCTTTTCTTTTTCTTATCAATTGACATTTACTATTGATTTCATCTATTAACTGTTGAATAGCGACATCGACCGTTGTTTGACTTTTGATTATATGCATTTTACCTGTTTAATAATAATGGATAAAGAACAAATTTTTTTTTATTACAAATAATCGTACAACTTCTCTAGCAATGACGAATTTACAGATCAATCAATCTTTTCCATTTGAGATTTCTTATGATATTGTTATGAAAGATTTACGTAAATGGTATAGGGAAATTGTAACAAAACTTGATCAAATCTCTGATAATATTCTTGTGGATATGACAACAACATTTAATGAAGTTCATTATTTTGCATCATTAGCAGATAGACTTTTAATTGAACAAGAAAATCAACTTAAAAAAGCTAAATCACATCAAGATATGAATATTATCGAAGAAAGAATCAATCAAATAATATTCGAAATTGAACTTTTACAATGTAAATAGATTTGAAACATGAAAGGAAAATATTTATTTTATTTTATTTTCTCGTACTTTTAGCTTTATCATTTCATTTAAATTGTGATTCAGTTAAATTAATTGGTAAACTTAAAATAAATTTTAATAATAATGATATTAAATTGAATGATCCATTAATTCCAATATCTTCGTATCGTTTTCTTATTTCAAGAAATGATGCTATTGAATTAAATAAACATTCTCTTTCCTTTTGTCATCTAACTTCACTGCATAATGAATCGATTTCTGAATGTGTTTTAACATTTATTGTATTCGATTTTGATTCATTTCTAAATGCATTTAAAACATATTGGAATTTATTTACAAAAACTAATCAAATTCGTTTATTGATGTGTCCAACACAAATATCATTTATCCTGGAACAATCAAATGAAACATTAAATTATTTAGAAGATTCTTTTCAATTAAATCAAATAAAAATATTTCCAGACTTCTGTCCAAAATCTGATGAAAAAATTTTATTAATCAATGGAAAACAACATGATCTTATTATAGATTGTGTTGAAGAAATTTATTATAATATTGAAGAAAAAAATAATCGAAAACAAAATATTAAATTATATAATCCAAGTCATTTATCAACGAAAGATATCGATGAAATAATAAAGAAAAATTTAGATTACGGAGGTTTTATGCAAAATCAAATTCGAACTAATTATTCTCAAGCAAATCTATTTGAACATACTGAAAGTAGTGATGATGATGATGATGATTTATGGAATGAAAATGATGAATGGTGGCATTATTCATCTAATGGAAATATGAGTTCCGAAGTAATTCAACGTGAAATAAATGTTAATAATGTACAAGCTGGTGCTATTATAGGTGAGTCATTTAAGAATCAATCTTATCGATAATAAAAATCTTTTTAGGAGTTAATGCATTGCGTATTGATCGAATTAAACAAAAAACTGGAGCATATGTTTATATTAATGGTGCTAATCAAGATCTTAAACGAACTGTACGAATTTATAATATTATTTTAAATATACAGTAAAACCTCCCTAATGTGAACGCCATCGGGACCGAAAAAATAGTGTTCATTATACGGACATGTTCACTATAAAGAGCTAGTATATGACATCGCCTGAAATGAAAGAAATCTTAGAATGTTTGCTTATGCCTTTATAGTGAGTAGCTGCCTAATTCGAGTTCGAATATAAACGGCCATTAAAAAAAGAAAAACTAGTACCTATGTCTAGCAACAGGTTTAGTTTTAGAATAATTTTCAGGTAAATCGCCTTCATCCACTTTGCCACCTTCTTTCACCCATCCCTTGGTCGTATATACGAATCATATATATCTTCGAGTAAAACTAAAATTGAATCTATTCCTAAATTTTACCATTTATTTTCGAATTATTAGTATGCAGTTGGATGTTCATTTTGATTTTAATTCGAATTAGGTAGCTCATCAAAACATATGACAAAAAGTAGAAAAAGGCCAAGCATACACCGTATATATGTTCACATTGAAGAGGTGACATAACTAGATGAGAACGGAAAAAAGCGTTCACTGTTCAGAATGAAGAGATATTCATATTGAAGAAATGCATTGCCAGCAAAAATCGCTCCGTCGGACCCGAGACCGTTCATAAAACAGAAGATTTCACTATCGAGAAGTGTTCACTCTGAGAAGTTTTACTGTATATATATTTATTTTCTATCTGTTTAGGTCTTTATTAAAGGTACTCGTGAACAAGTTGATCGAGCGTATGCATGCATTGACACTCTACTCGATAGACATAAAAATGGTAAATTACCCATGAAACAGCGATGTTCACATGATAAATCTAAAGAAAAATAAGAGATTATTATCATATATACATCTAGTCATTTTGTTTTTTTATCAATTTATAGGCATCAATTTCTTCTATTTTTTTTTCTATGAATAATTTCATAATAAATGTAATTTAGTTTATAATATATAATGAACTATCATAATTTCAAGTATCTTTTTTTTTGTGTGATGTGATTTGTTCATATCACTAAACGTATTAATATTGTAATTATACAATCTATCATTTGCTCTGTCGATTAATCGTATATGCGATCGTTTATTTTTTGCCTTCGTTCATACTTATCGTATATATATATGGTGTTGACCCTCACGCTTCTTGATTCTTTGTCGGGTATCTCTCAGTGTAGAATTGCATAATGAACATATAGCATAGATATATATATATGTGTATATATCTGCATTACCTCTTTATCTATTCTTTTTTTTGTCATTATATTCGTCTCCATCGGATAAAGACACCGACTACATTCAAGGCATTAATAAATACCAATTAAATTGAATTATGCTTGCTACTTCCTACTGCACAGATCGTTATAACAAACCAAGTATATATGAAGATTATTCGACAGATATTCATAATAATAAAATTTCATGGTTGAACTTTTTAACTGCTCAACCAATTCCAGAAGAAACTGAAATGTCTGATTGTTCAGATAGTGAAAGTTCGATATCATCAACTGAAGATTCTTATATCGTTCTTGAAGTACGAAAACCTCGTTCAATTGATAAAACAACAGATATTATAGAAAATAAATTACATTTTGCTCAAATAAATATTGATGAACATATTGTAAAGTATGATCAAATTGCTAAACCAATAACCACGCGGGTAAAATAAAAATGATACTCAGATTAATAAGAAGAAAAAAAAAGAATGTGATTATTTTTAGGTAGCATTGCAAGCACATGCCATTGAAATTCAAGTGGAATCTTTGATACAAATTGATGTATTTGAAAAAGTTATACAACGAACTAATCGTATTCTTTTTCATACACCTAAAAAACTTGATAAATCTGTCTCGGTATCTGATAATGACTTTACCGATTCCATGGAATTACAAACAAATTGTCCTATTATTGAAGGGGAACCTATGGATATTCATTCTTCACTAACAAGTCTCGATTCAATTGATAAGGATTCATTAATTGAAAACAATTATTCTGCTGTATTAACTCAACAAAAAGCAAATTACATTGAAGAAGAACAAAAACCTCCAATCAATGAAATAAAAACGTTAAAACGTCGATTAGCACCCAATGATGAATACAAAGAAAAATCGAATCGAATTAAAGAACAAAAAATTACTCATACACAAATGAGTAATAGTTTTTCAATAACAAATAAACAATCAAAATCATCAACATTATTTCGTTTTATAAAAAATCAAACACGACATATACAAACCAAATATAATATGTCTAATCATGAAATGAAATCTAATGAACCATCATTAGTTCAAATAAAATATTTCGATGGACGATCAAGTTTAACCGATATGAATATTCAGGGATCACAAATTTTATGTAATCCAGTATCACCATTAAGTTCATCATCGAAGTCTTCATCTCGAAAACGAATATTAAATCATTTTTCAATATTTTCAAAAACAACTTCAACTGAAGAAATATATTCAAAACCAAAATTTGGAATATTCAATGGAAGAAAATCGAAAGATAGTTATGTTTGATAAGTATTTATTGAATAAATTTATAGACACATAATATTACACATTTGAAAAATATTTAATGTTGACGAATTTCATCAACAACAATAGCAAATAATATCATAAGAGCTTGATCTTCATTACCATAGACTTTTAAGCCATATGTATCATGTAAATGAAATCTGTCTTTATGAATTTGAGCAACCTAAAAGCAAAAGATAATTCATGTTTATGATAATAATGAAAAAAAGGAATCTTTACTTTATGATGATTTTTTGAGATTTTATATGTATGTTTACCAAATTCACCTTTGATTACATATTTACCAAAATCACCTTCGGCATGTATTTTTGCACCAATAACTTTAAATTTATTTTTTATTTGACCGACTTCACGACCAGTGATTGCATCAGTAATTGACCATGTTGACCATAAATTGAGAAGTTTATGTGTAACCTATATATGTATATATAGAAATATATATAAAAGACAAAAATTAAAACTATTTACAATATAACGAGGTTTGCCATTTTCTAATAAGGTAAGTTTTTTTCCAATACGAAGAAGTTCATTTTCAATTGAAAATCGTATATTAGTTGTTTTACTTTTTATATCATAACTACGACCTCCAGTAAAGATACTTCCTAAAATCAAAGTTATAATTATAAGTAAAAATAGAAAATGATAATTATATACCTTGTTTAATTTCATATTTTGTTACAGCGACACGAGATCTACATTGAACAAAAGCTAATAATAAACCAAATGTAATGAAGGCGATGATTGTGAATTTCATGATTTGAAATAATTTGTCGGTTAAATATAGTAAAATAAAATTATACACGTGCTTATATACATTATTGTTAAACAAAGGTTTAACAAAAGAAAGAAACAGACGAATAAATGCAATCGACTATATATAATACAAACAAAGACGAATAGAAATTACGCCGGGGACGACGTTAAATAAATGTTATCAAGTACATTCGATAAGAACAAAGACTTATGAATCATTTATCGAAAGAATAGAAATATAGTATGTTTAAATTCATAAAATTATGGGTACATTCTTTAGTAGATCTCCAAAACAAGATATAACATAGAAAATATTTTATTTTAATAATTTTAAAAGATGTTATTCGTATTTCTCTTATAAAAAATTATATATGAGTGCATGAATTTATCCTACAATTCGAGGTTGAGTCAACATATTTTATCAGTGTAAAATATATACCCAGCCACTAAAGTAATCATTTCATCATAAGGTTAAAGATAATATCTGAATTATGCTTCAGATATGATTATAATGAATCATTTGCCTTCAAATTGATGATGCATTAATAATAGATCATTTTTACAATTATTTCTTTTTTCTTCATTGTTTTTTATTAATCTTCTTGAAAGCTTAAACAAAGGCTTTATGTCTTTACAAAATATTTCAAAAAGAAATTATATGTTAATGTAAAAATCCTGCATTATATTTGTCAAAGTTATAAGTTGACATAATCAGTGAACATATTCAATATAATTCGATATTATATATTTTTTCTGCTCTATCGACTTCAATCATTTGAAAATGCATTAAACTTTTTTTCAGTATTAGTTGTATATTTAGTTTACAATTGGATCAACTTTTTTTAATATGAATTCAAATAAGACAGACAATGATTCGTAACAATAAATTAAAATATAGCATATCAAGGATATGAATATTCATACGAAACTGATAAGATCGGATGTGATATTTTTCTCGTAATTTAATTAAGAATTCTATACAAGTATTTTCATTAGTAATGAATCACCGATTACAAATTTTTTAAAGATTATGCTTAGTAAAAGTTATTTTTTGTCAATTTACTTTATTTATCATTTTTATAAAACTTTATTAAAGCCTGATGTTTTTTAGCACTTTAAATACATTATCCAAATATTTACAATAATATCTTGTATAAATGAGAAATAATGTATTTTGCTTCAAAGAATACAAAAAGAAATTGGGTATTTTAATTTCGATGCATGTATGATAGATATATATGTCAGTCATAAAAAAAAACTTTTGTCAATAAGAATGACATAGAAGTGTTTGCATGAAGGAAGATAGGTACAAACAACAGTAAAGGTAAATTATTCACAGATATAATTAGAGAACATAATACAAAAAACAAAAAAAAAAGGAAGTAAATTTCTATTATTTTTTAAAATGACTATTTGCGAAATTTTCTATGTGTTCCATTAGTATTAGTCGATGGTAATGATGAGACATGTTCGAATGAAGCTTGTTGTCGAGTAATTGATGTTAAATATTGATCATCTGTTAGTGAGATACCATGAGATTTTTTAGTTCGATGTGGAAATGGTTCTTGTAAATTTATTATTTTTGAAGTATTAATAAGAGGTGATCGAATTGTTGGATCAGATTCTAATGGATTTGAACTTATAGTTAGTTCTAAACTAGTCATTCTTTCTTGAATAGCTCGGTGTTGTTTAATAAAATCCATCAAAGCTAAATGAGCAAATAAATATTGATCTTCTGTTTGAACACTACCCGAACGTTCATGTCTCATTTTAACAACTGTTGATGGTATATCAATAAGTTTTTCATTTAAATATCGTTTTATACCCATATCAATTGCACAAAATGTACCTGTACGTCCAATACCAGCTGAACAATGAAGAAGAATTGGAGCTGTTGTTTTTGTTAATTGTTTATAATATTCGACTTTTTCTAAAAATAATAATGCATCTTTTGTTCCTGTTGGAATACCATGATCAGGCCATTTAAGATAATGTGCATGATAAATAGTTCGTGTTTCGGAATTATTTTTTTTCTTTAATAATAATGTCGTTACAACAAAACTGTCATATTTATCAGATGTCTCATTTTGAATTTGATATAATCCAGCATTAAGATGGTCTTTTGTTTCTAATGGCCAATATGGATAACATTTCATAGTACCGGATTCACGAATATTTGTTGTCATAACAATAATAGAAATATTTTCTTGCCAAATCATACGCCAAAAATCTTTTACTGTTGATTGTAATGGTCCTAAAATAATTTATGAATATATATAAGTTTTTCTTCTCTTACGTAATTCTATAAAATAAATATTTATTATTTTCGTTTTGATTTACCCTGAGTAAATATATAAGCTTTTTCTTGATTATTATAACCACTAACATAATTCGCATTAATAAAATCATGTTTATCCTCACTATCTGGTTGAAGTTTAACACGAGTTAATTCACCTGGTATAACATCTCGATAGCGAGATTTATCAAGATTTTTTTCATCTCTAAAAATTAATTTTATTAAAATATTAACTTTATAGATGTTTTACTTTGCAGCATGCGTATCTTTTGCAGGAGGATTTGACATTTTACGAAATTCGTGTTTAATTTCTTGATGTGTTTTAGATAAAAATTCTGTTTCATTCAATGATTTATAAACATTTGTTATTGTTGATCGTTTGGTATCACGTTTAACGAATTCACGATAATCATTTCCATTCATATTATTATTTGTTTTATAATCATTTTTTTCCTGTTGGCCAGTATATATACGATAAGTATTTTCATTATGTTTTGATTGACTAAATAAAAAGATTAGTTTTTATTGAATTTAATATATATATATATAGTTTCATGAAAGAAAAAAGAAAAAAGCTAATTCAATATAGGAAATGATACTGCATTCATATTTATGTAAATCTATTAAGATATTAATTTGAATATAAAAATGACATCGAATGTTACTTATTCAAACTGTCAGTTGAATAGAAATTGATTTTGTAAAGATTTATAATTTTCTAAATTTTACCTTGAGATATTATATGTTCGAATCTATTTTTTGATCGTTGTTAAATCTGTATAGGAACTATAAAAATGGTGAGAAAGAGAGAGAAAAAAAAAGGTTTTTTATCGATATAAAATATTGATGAAATAGAATGTCGATTAGGCGGAAGAATGGAGAATGACATTGGTGAGAAAGGCATTGATGAATACTTGTTATGTTATGATGATGAACAACACTACATGGATAGATATATGTCACAGTTTGTGATTGATAAGTGTTCATTGTTGAAAAAAGAAAATAATAAGTCAATAGAGAATAGAAGAAGAAGAAGAAAGAAAGAAATAAGAGTAACTAGATGAATGATGCGGAAAATGAAATGAAAGTATGAGGACATATTTAGGATGGAAGAAGGGAGGAGAAGAGGAAGAAGAAGATAGAAATGAAGAAAAAAAACAGCAGACATTCTCTCATTTCTTTTTATCTATATTCCTTCTAGTGACAAGATAAACTACGGCTTATGTTGATGACACTTATCAGTGGTGTATAACTACTAGCGAAGAAACTTCTTCATATAATGTAATAAAAAAATAAAGTATGATAAACAGTATATAAATACACTTATCCGAATATATATATTCAATTTTGTTTTAGTGAAATATTAATCCATACCATAACATTTTTTTTTGTTATTGATTTGTATATGTAACTGTCATGTAAGATATTAATAAATCGACAAAGGACAATATTTAAAGTCTGCTGACGTATATATTTGTAGGTGATTTTTTTTCTTCTCTTTTTCTCTGTTGTTTTTTTTTCAGTAGACATATATATATATATGTATGTATGTATATCAAGAACACGTTGAAAGAAATGAGTTTTTAAAGAGGCGAACAAGAAAAAGAGAAGGAGGAAAAATGAGAATAAATGAATAATTTAATTCTTACTCATCGAAATTTTCTTTTCGTAATGAAGATGATGATTTAATCATAGGTGATTCTTCTTCAATAAGATCGTCATTTGATCGTGGACGTTTATCATTATCACTTGATGATGATGATTCACGTTTTCGTATACGAATTTTTGCTGATGTATCATTATTATATCTTAATGAAACAAGTGTAAGAAGTGGTGATGGTGATGATGTTACTATTGTTGTTGGTGAATTTATTAATTTATCTTGATTATGATAATCAGTATTAACAACTAAAATATTCTTTGTTGATTTTGTTATTAATGGTTGATAATCCGAAGAATAATAAGAAGAACATATGGATTGTTTATTTGTTACTTTCGATGAACATAATTGATAACGTGTATTACCACTATCGATTGGATCAAATGTACCACCTAATGAGATGGGAATATTATCTAATGGATAACCACATTGTTTTCTTAGGTATTCACGCATTTGATCAATTGAAAATAATGTTACCTTTTAAGAAAGAAAATGTTTTATAGAAATAAACAAACTACGTATAAATATTTGTGACTAATTACATTCATCTATATGTGTGCAATGGTGTAAAACTAACAAAAAAATTTGAAATATCTACGTGTCTAACTACCAACAACTATGTGTATATCCTCACCCTCTCGCGCAGTTTTTGGCTTAAAAAAATTGCGAGTACCTTATAGATTACTCTGAACCATTTTGGAGCTGATACAATAAATATATTTTTTAACATTGCTGGATAACCACCCTGAAATAAATAAATCGAAATCATCATCATCAAAAAAAAATAGTTTTAATCAAAATGAATTACTTGAAGAAGTTTAAGAATCTTTTTACTAAGATTCATATCAAACTGTGTTGCAGAACAATTTTGCATATCATAAATAAAATTTAAACCATTTTGTTGAACTTCCGCACTATAAGAAACAAAAACATATAGGGGATCACTTTTGATATTATATTAACCTTTCAGTTGCAACATCAAGTTGACAAATTAATGCTTGTAATGTAATTAATTCACGTTCTTGTAATGAAAGTGAACTATTTGATATTGAATGATTAGAATTTGATGCTGTGAAAATAACTGTTAAAGGTTGATTTATAATTTGTGGCTAATGTTTAATAAAAAGAAGAATGATAACAAAAATATGAATGAAAAAAATACCAATGAAAAAAATTTGCTTGATTGAATTTCACGAATAAGATTTGGATTATTTATCCAAATATGATCAAGATTTTCAGTTTTACGAAGATTCTAAAAAAGAAAAAGACAAACAAATAAATATCGTCGCATAAAATTTATACGAACTTCATGTGTCGTATATAAATCAACCGCACGATTAACATCAAATTTTGATGGAATTAAAAATTTCATCGCTGTATTCCATTTTACACGTGCTTCATCTGTTCCGGAATTTATTGGCCATCCCATACGTTTAAGAAAATCTTCAACAGTCTAAATAATATCAATAATAAAAAACATTACATAAAATATATATTTTTTTCAGTTATCGGTTATATCGGAAATATCATGAAGGAAAAGCTCGGGAGACCTAGTATTAAAAAGTGATTTCTTATAGTTCTATAATATTATATGACACTTTTTCTATATGATTATTTAGTAATTTTCAACAACGCATTGGAACGGAAAGCCCAAGGGAATATAGTATTTGAGTTTTCGAGTTATAAGGATTCTTTTTTAAGTACGTACGTACGTATAGTATATATATCTAACAAAAGCTAAATATCAATAAAAATATAAATTTATCTTATACTATAATAATTTAAATTTATTATTCAACATTAGAATAACAAATACAACAAGTAGCCTTAGTAAAAAATTTGTTATTCAAGGATATAGGAAATTTTAAATAATTCGTCCATTATTACATTATATAAAGTATATACGTTCTAATAGATTTCTTTGTTAAATAATCCTATTTCTATTGACATTGAATGTACAATAAAAATGAAAGATTTCTTTTTGTATTAAAAAAAAGCAACTTTTTATATGTGTACACGACGCATGTTTGCCTGTCTATACATACATGAGTAGGTTGTGTATAAGAATCGTGATCGGTCACAACGTCGCTCAGTGGACGATATCTAAGAAGATTGACAGCGTGTTTACTATGCGTATTACTACCACTTATAACATTTCGCGTTTGTCCACCTGCTACAGCATTTGTCATTGATGATGCTTTAAATGGTTTCATAGCAAATGAACGAATTAAAGATAATATATCAGTCGATCCTGAATGTCGATTATGTATTGAATTGGATGAGGATGAAGATGAAGAAGCATTGATTTGTGTTGGATATTTAACGCGTCGATAACGCGTTGGTGTAGACATAGATGATGTACCTAATATTGTCGATGTTGTTGTCGATAGACGTATTGTATCTTTTGCTAATTTTGTATGCGTTGATTCATAAAGGGAACATTGACTTTTAAAATGATGTTCGTCTAATACATCAGTGGACATAGTAAATTAGTCGTTTTCTTCTTGCTTTCTATGTTTTGGTTGTTTTTATACCTTTTTTTGCAGTATTGGATAATTAGAGGAAATGATGATGACAAATGACAAGGTGAGTAAAGTAATGCAAGCGTAACGTAATGAGATGGTAGGTGTGAGTAAATTTACTCACGTTTAGTGCTTTTTTTCGTTCGACAAGAAAAAAACGAAGTTCAAGCAAAGAAAGTAGATCGATACGTAACAGGACGACGACGACGACGAAAAATATGATGTTTATTTAGACTTCGACTCGTCTGTTCTCTTGTTCTTTCTTTTCTTCTTTTACTTCTTCTTCTTTTTTTTTCTCGTCATACAGGTGAAAGAGAAAGAGAGAGAGAGACCTGAGCTGATAAGTGTCCTCTCTGTCTCGCTGTTCTTTTCTATTGTACATCATTCGCGTGGGTTTCGCATGCCCCGATGTCTTTTTTTTTTTTTTCTGTATTTTATTCTATTGTGTCCGATTGCATGCTTGCATGGATGCAGACAATAAGGTGTCTAGCAGTTCATTTTCTTTTGGGAAGGTTGTCATCACAAAAAAAAAAGACGATGGGAACAAAAAGGCATGTTACTTTATATAGATTCATCATTTAATTAATCAATGAAGACATATGATTGTTGATCCATTAACGGGATACTATATAGCGTAAAGAATATTAATTTAATGTTCTTTTTTGCTTTTGTTACGTATTATGTTGTAATGATTAACAAAACATTACGAATAAAAACAACAAAAACTATAAATGGATATTTTGTATGTTTGATCCTATTCTTCTTAACGTATTGTATACCGATATAAAGAAAGAGGTGATTGAATGAATTCATTAATAACATTTCAAACACGTTCATTTTACTGTTAGTATATTTATAATACAACATCAAAGAGACTTCTATAGATTCGTTGTTATTATTATTAATAATACTTACCTCATCAAAATAATAATGATTCGATGACGATGATGATGATGACATTTGACAATGACAAGTACAAAAGCTAAGAAAATCGAAACATTTTCCTATTAGTCGATGTGTTCGCCTTGCTTGCAGCATTCATTTGTCTTTTTTTTCCAAAAAAAAAAGAAAAAATGAAAAGAAAGAAGAAAGTGATGGTAATGTTCAGTTTGCGTAAATGTGTGCGTCTTCAATTTGACCGGGTGAACGATGCCATTGGCAAAAAAGAGGAAGAGGATGAAAGAGAGTGACTGAGTGAATAAGAAAGAAACTACTATAGCTTCTTTCTTGCGCATGTGAAATTAGAGTGTTGGTACATATAACAACATAACTATCTTTATACAGAATTTCCCCAATGGCAATCCTCAATAAACTTACTTTGATCGAATACTTATCATCACGTTTATATACCGATTCATATTGTATATATACAAAAGCTACGTAATAATGAAAACAAATCGAATTTTAGAAATCCTTCCAGTCTTTTATTCTTATTTGAAGAAGAAACCTGAATCAACAAGATTCATTGTGACATAATAGATTCTTCCTATTTATAATTTCATTTTATACTAAATTGCAATTGTCATAATCATATCCAATTGAAATTCATGTCAACATAGTATATATCGAAAATGACTGTATATATTTATTATTCAATCAGATCAATAATAATTTCTTTTCATTAAACTTGATATATATATATATATACGAATGTTCTTTTTTTTCCGAAAGCTATCATTAAATAATACGTTACTTATGTAAATCTAAATATATATATATTTTGCATACTATTCTACAATAGTCCTACTTCAAATAACCATTCCGATATTCTCGGCTCGAACAAATTTATTTAGGAATAGATACAAACAAATTGACGAAGAAAACACAAAAAATAGAAAAAAAAAGAAAACAAAAAATTAGCTAGTAGCTGTGATAAATAAAGCAACGAAAAAGAAAACAATGATAAGTAAACAACATGAATTTTGATTATTTTATAGATTGAGCCAAAATTCTAATTCCACTGTTTTGATGAGTAAATTACGTCGTAGAAAAAAAGCAACAACAACAAATAAACAATTCTAAGTGTTAAGCTCATCTGAACGGTGCAATATATGGCTTCAATAATTAGCAAAGCTCCTAAGATATGGACAAAAGAGGGTATTGCATTTATTTAAGTTTAGTCAGATGTGGAAAAAAAGGAGAAGAGGAAGAAGTCGAATTATTTTGAGCGTAAAACAGGTGTTTGTAAAAGAAGTTCACTATCTGCAGATACAATAGGAATATTTCCTGATTTATGATATGATATAAGATGTTGAATAGAATCAAATTCGTAATCTTTTGTGCGAATCTATATAGAGAAAATTAAGATTAAAAATTAAATTAAAATTTTTAATAATTTACAATTCCTTCTGGATCAACTAGAAGTAAATGTTTAAATTGATCTTTATGACGGCCTGAGAGAATGAATTGACCTGGAATTTTTGCACTTTCACGTACAAGAAAATCACCACTATTGTGTAATAAGAGTTCAGCCTAGAAGAAAAAAACCTCATTAGATTTTTTGATATAATTCAATTATTATCCTCGATATAGAAATTGAATTAACACGAAGAAAAAAAACAATTTGTTTTTCTGTTTACTATCTTTTAAAATTGATATTTACTTCATCACGACCAATTTTTCCATGAAACCATTTTTCTTTATAAACATCAGGACTATTCATTGTATTCCATTTACCTAAATGATATAAATATGAACTTAATTAAAGTTCAACAGATGTTTTCTTTTTTTTTTTCTAGACTTTTTGTTTTTTAATTATGATTATTCACATATTGATATCACTTGTTTCTTTGTTTATATAAGTATAATTAATCAAAAAAAAAGCCAACGAGATATAACAGTTGATCTCAATATTGGAAATTCGACGCGTGTGTTTCTTTCTCTTTACATGCAACTATTTTGATATATATATGTATATGATAGCAAATACTTATCAAACAACGACCATGAACTATTAAGATTGACAGAAAGGACGGGATATACATACACTACTGTTCATTAATGTAATTATGGGCGTATAAAAATTTCTAAACATACCCTGAGTTTGTTGTTGTTGTTGTTGATTATTACTAGGAATAGATCGATTGATATCATCATCTCGTTTCTATTAGACATAAAAGAAAAAGAATGATACAATTTATATGAAAATAAATTTATACCTGCTGAAGAAATTCATCATTTTCAAAAGATTTTACTGATCTAATTGAGTCAATTAATTATAAGACGAAAAATTAACTAATAAAAAAAACTATACCCTTGTTGTGTTTGCATATATTCATTATATCGTAATTCAAATGCTTGTCCAATTGTTGTAATCACATCTAACGATTCATTTTCTTTACATGAAAGTACATGACATGATCGTTTATTGGTATTATCTTTTGCTACATAAGCTATATAATCTTTTGTTTCCTAAAATTAAAAAAAAATTAATTCAAAATAATAAAATCAATCAGCACATACATGTTCTCCAGCGCTTGCAAATGAAATTCCTTCCATTTTATGTGAAAAAAATATATGTGAATCATTTAATCGTTTAAGTACAAGTGAATCCGTATTAATTGTTAATTGAACAGCTGTGTGACTATGTGTCAAATTTGGTTCTGTTGATATCATAGATTGTGTTATTGACGATGATTGATCAGGCTAATAGATAAATCCTATGAAATCTTTCAAAAGGATTAAATTATATTTACATACTTTACGTCGTTCTTTTGTTGCAACACCAACTGCTGTGCAAACTAAACGAATAGAATCTCGTGCAACTCGTGTACGATTATCAAAATCCAATGTTTTCATTGAACAAAGAACTTCAACAGATCCAAGATACTATAAGAAAAAAAATTAAATAAGCAATATTAATTCCATATTCTTACAGTAACACTATAATTGACACCATGACCTGATAAAAGATCTGTATCTGAATGTAACCAACGTGTATCATCATCAAGATTTGTCATTGTCGATGAGGTTAAAACCATCAAAAATACCACAAAAGAAAAGATCAAGTAAATTGTAGTCAACAAAATGAACTTAAGAGAATGATTGACACTCTAATTTACATAGTCTTCCTCCTCTTCATTTGTCGAGAGGGTAACAGAAAGAATGGATGGTCAACATTTTTTTCGAGTTAGAAATTAATGGGCAATAGATGTCAGACAATGCTTGATGTTTAATCTCGCATCAAAAAAAAAGGAAGAAAAAAATCTAATAGATTTATTGCAACATTCATAATAAACATATCAAAAATGAAAAATGTTTAAAGCATTAAAAAAAAAGAAGGAATCCTTGATATATTGTTTTATAGACAATACAAGGGGAAGTAACTGCTTCCTCTAACTGTCTTCGTTCTGTTGATACTAATACAAATGATATATTCTAGCTCATTGATATTTTTTTTGTGCTTATATGGACAGGGGTAACCCATCAATCGAGTAATATATACAAGTGCTTCTTATCTTATACTATTCATGTACATATCCAATTTGAAGTATTGTTAGTGTAATAAGTAATCTTATAGCATTCATAGATTCAATGAACGATTTTGTTTTTGAATAACAATTGTATAGAAATAATCTTCAAGTTTTATTTTCAAAATCTACAAAAACAATCATGATCGAAGAATAAACATTACCCGTGTATTGCTTGACAGAAAAAAATCAATCATAGAATTTAATCATGAAATCCATTTAATTGAAAATTTTCGGATGTAGATTTAAGCTATATTCTTAATATTATCAAAGGATGAGCTTTTTTCTTTTGTTGTTTATTTATATTGATGATTAGTATATTTGACATCTTGGGAAATGATCTTACGATGTGTAATATATAACTGACTGTTATTTTTCTCGACAGAGCCTATCGATCCTTGCTTATCGACTCTAATACTATTAGATTTGCTTTGTTTCCTTCCTATTATTCTTTATAAATATAACTTTCCTTAAAATATTCAATCGATTATTCTTTTATTCTATCAATAATGAGCAAATGTTCATTAGTAAAAAAATAAATCTCTTTTATCTATCATCATGCGTAATAGAGATAGACGAGACTTATTCTTTTGTGTTTCCAATCAGCGAAGCTCATTTAATATAGATTTCATGGCATATTTATAATCGTGTACGATAATAAGTTTTCTTTTCTACTCTTTCTAAATGAACTAATAATTATACGGAAGAATATTCATGATATTCTTCATTATTATTAAAGGTTATAAATGATCTTCAGTCATCTAATTTTTCAAAATATAGAAAGTTTAAAGAAATATTTTTTATTTCTGATATAATAAATAGTTCTAATACGAAATTACTAAAAAATAACGAATGTCAGGAGAAAACAGTTGTTAATGATAATAATCATTAGTTTTAACAACGACAGAATAATTATATATCTTGAGTGTTCAATAATAGAGAAAGGAATTTAAGCGTTAAATTGATGTATCCGACAAGGAATAAGATAGAAAAATTCTAATAAACATGAATCTAATTTAGCTTATTGAACATGGGAATTCTATATTTTAACTACGAGGAATTTTCTACAGAATATAATAGTAAATGAATAATTTTATTCCTTCGATTAGAACTTTGAAGTCATATAGAAATATTTTATTTATTTTAAGTTCTCATTTTTTTTGCTTGTTTTGTTTTTTCTACATACAATATATACGAACAAACACATGAATATATATACTCAATAAACGAACAATAATAAAAAGGTTATATGTATATGAGAAAATCTGTATGAAATACCCATGAAATTTATGTGGTATTATGATTGGTTATTTTATATGAAAAGTATGAATGAATCATTATGGAATTTATTTCCATGGTAATTTAAATGGTAATTTATCGGTTATTGTATTTAACGCATTTGTTGCCATTTTAACTGGATCAAAACCTATAGATGTAAAAATAATAAATACAAAATATAAAATTGTAAACAAAAAAATTTACTATCATCATCATCAGGTAATGGAATGGGTCCTTTTTTATCTTGAGTTAATCGTCCTTCACATGGTGGTGGAAGTGCTATTTCTTCTTCTTTCTTTTTAATATTGTACTAAAAATATATCAATGAATGTATTATGAAGAAGAAAAAAATTAAAATATTCTATTATTAAAAAATTAATAATCTATTTTGACAAATGAAACAAAACATTTGCAGATTATTTTGACATGATAAATTTGATTCAATAGTTTTGTAGAAATCTTTAAGTTTAAATTAATTATAGCGTGTTTCAGTCATTTCGTGACATTTATGAGAAAAACACTAAGAAATTCATTGAACACTTATCTCTCGAGAGTTCGTTTTCAGTGACAGTTTTATCTATTTTTCGTGTCATTCTAAGAAACATCAATATCTATTCTAATATAACAGACATAAGTCATGAATTAAAAGAAAAAAATTTACTTTTTCTCTAATTCCTTGTCGAACGTCTTCTCTTTGCCGTTCCATTTTAGCATATTTTGCATCACGTTTTTCTTCAGCTTCACGTCGAGCTTCGGCAACCTAAACATGCATAAAAGAAATCTGTCAGATTTTATTAAATAATATTTTAATATTAAATACAGATACCATATATTAGTATATTAATATATTAAAAAAAATTACAATTAGAATAATTATTTAAGTGTGAAATTAGAAATGAAATATTGTTAGTTATCTGTTGATGATCACACACTTACCACTGGTGATTCTATCATACTCTTACGACGGAGAGCACCTGATGTTGAAGATGGTGATGGTGGTGTTGATTTTGTGAATGGTGGTACAAGTGAAAATCGTCGTGTTGGATTGGGTGTAGGAGTCGAGAGAAATAATGTACTAACATTTAGTTTATCCATAATTCTGACATAGACGAAAGAAGAAAAACGAATAATTCTCAAATGTTGTATTTAAAAAGTATTAAAATTAGTAAGAAAGATTGATAATGATGTTGGAGTACGAAATGATAAGAGATGTGTTAATGTTAACAAAAAAGAAAAAGAAAAAAGAAAATGTCATTTCACTCATTGAACGTTTACTTAAAAATGACGAGAACGAAGAGAGATTGTTAAGAAAATATCATGAGAAAAAGAATCAGACAAGAGGAAAAGAGGGGTGGGAAATGAAAACAAAAAATAACTAGAAGATAGTATGATATCATATTGATCTCAAGTCAACCAAATACATTTATTCTATTTGTCAATTGTAAAAGCTAAGAAGTTTATTAAAGAAGAAAAATGAATATTATGTTCATGAACGATCAATAAGATAAGATCTAACTATAAGAATCATTGGCGATTCAATCGAGCAAAAACAACTATGAAAGGCTTTTGGTAATGACGTGCATGTGAATAAGGGTGGAAAATAAAAATAGATGAGTTGAGCGGACTTCTCTTTTCTTTTTCATCTTTCATATATACAAGATGCTGGAGAAATGTTAATTATTGAATAGATTCTTTGACAATAATAATAATAGAATTGATGATGACAAACAACATACATGCACGTATAGATATATAGATATATACACACACAACATTTATATAGATTGTTTCATTTTACCTCTGGATCTTCTTCATCAGCACCAGCCTCTTTCTTTTCGCCATCACCACCAGTCAATTCTTCAATACAAAAAAAAAAGTAATATTAACTGATCATATAAATCATAAGGAGAAAAAAAATCAACTTACTTTTACTCATCTTTATATTTGTATATATATATGAATAGGACAAAAAAAATGAGTTTTTCTGTGAGATCTCAACAAACTAATCTATTTTTCTGTCAAAGTCTTCTTCCTCTTCTTTTTCTTTTATAGAAAAAACAATTGAATGACATTGTTAATCTATTTAGATACGAACATCATCGAATTGCTAGCTTCAAGCTAACTGACATTGTAGTACTTCTAGTTCTAACTGTAATTTTATTAGGGCAACTATGAAAACTATTATACGAATAAATGCTATCGATAAATTGCTAGTAGATCATCAAGAAATGAAAGAAAAGAAAACTCCTAGTCTATTTGTTATGTTTTTAGTTTCCTGCACCACACGACTATGAATTTGAGTATGTTACATACAGTTAAATATGCGCCTCAATGAATTAATTATAATTAATTCTCAGTAAGAGACATCGTAAGAGTATAGTAAAAAAGTATTTATTAATTTGCGTTTTGATACATACCTTTAACTTTATCCAGCTGCGAACCCATCATTTGTTTCATAATAAACGATGCCATGATAATAATTTTTAAATTATGTACAGATGGATAAATAAAATATGTGAATATATAAACCTAGACAAAAAAAAGAAGGAATTATACAAGATAAAAGTATCAACTAAAACTACTACGGTAGTTATGAAGAGTAGTAAAAGATTTGTTCACTCACTATATTAAACCTTTTTCTTTTTTCTTTCGTCATATTTTCTTTTTTTTTCTTCTTCTTCCTATTCTTCTATTTTTCCTAGGAGTATTTCTACTGCCGGCAAGTCGACAACGTATGTCTTTCGCATTTGTTTCTCATTCTAGTATCTTCTGAATAGAGGACTATCTCATGCTACTTTGCTTCACATCACACTTCTCTATCAACAATATTACTGTAAATATAAGTACATGGTCTTTTAGTGATCATCGTAATGTAAAAAGGAAATAGGAACCATACAGAAAATTTTTTTCAGTGAATACAGAAGAAAAAAACCTTTATAGCTATTTCTTTATATGTGTCTACAAATCTTTAATGCTGTCATCTTTATTTGAAAACAAATATATATATATACAATACATGGACTTTTTTTCTTCTCGTATTTTGTTTTTGTCGTATAGAATCAATCAGAAATATATGAAAATAGTTATAGACGAGGCGGAAAAAAAGCAATCTTTAAAATCTATTTAGTAGAATTTATTATTGTCAGTACAAATATCTTCTCTAAATAAATAAAGAAAAACTAATATGATGAGAACTATATTTATTCCTGTTATATATATAGATAGATATAGATAGATCAGATCTCATTTACTGGAATGTTATACATTTAAATATATAATTAGAATAAAACAATAAAAAAGATTTCTTTTTTTCCTTGTAAAGAAGAATTATAGTACAGGTTTAAAAGTGAGGAGTGATCCAAAAACGATGAGATAATAAGGAGAAGACGTCAAAAAAAAGAATAGGAAATTGTTGATTGGTGTGTGTTAAGTTACGAATGTCTCTGAAGCATTTATAGAGGTCCTTCGTTCTCATTCCATGTATTCTTACTAATAGAAGAATGTTCTACATACGTATTTTTGTATTAAACGATTTATCGAAATAAAATCAACAACATAAATCTCAGCACTGTTTAGTCAGTTGAGACGACGCTTTTAGTTGTTTCTACACGTTAACGAAACACAGTCTGTGGAAAAAAAAGAGAGAAAATGAGCTTGGCAGAACGTTTCTTTTCAAGGAATTGTCTGATCGATAAAATCAGTAACAGGAGAAAAAGAAAAATGGTGTGAAAGACATTTGATTATGAGAGAATTGCTTTGTCGTGCCTTACAACTCCGTTTTTTTTCTTCTCTTAAACAATGACGAGTGTAATGCCGCCGTCGTCGTCGTTGTTGTCAATGTTACAAGTATTCAAAAAATCAAAAAGATTTTCTCTTGTTACATATATTCAAGTGTAGTTGTCTGAAAGTATAGCAACATACTTCTCTCTTATCTGAACTACATGAAGAAAAAAAAATAATAATAAACTCCAGATTTATATTTAATAAACGGTAGACAATTGATAGAAAATAATACAACTTTGTTTTTTATTATCAACTCATACTTAAAAAATAAACAATCGTGATAAATGTTTCTTTTTTTTTTAATGTCGAAAGACTGCATACTATTTAATCAAAGCCTTCAATAGGCCATTTAAATTTCTTATGTAATGATTCTTGTCCACGAGTATATTTGCCATATTTTTCTAAAGTACAATTTTTATCCGCTGTGCGCCAACCAATTAAATTACTAGTTGTTATTGGTATTGGTCTTGGTGATGGACAAACAGTAACATGTTGCTGTGGTAATTCTTTACTATTTTCATTCTGTTTTACTGAAGAAGGATCAGCACGAGCAAGTAAAGCTCTTGGGGATCGCTTCGGATCATATGCATTCGCCTATTTAATAAATTATTATTGATGTTTTTTTAACAGTAATTTAAAATATACCTGAGGTTGAAGACCATTTAAAAAACCCCATTTTGTATCATGATTTTTTTGTGCAATATCAATTTTTGATACATGATCTTTCCTTTAAAACATATCAATTACATATTATATGTATATAAACAATAAAATGTTCAAATTATATTACCAAATTTGATCTCTGACAACAGAAGATTTTTTATCATCATATTGATCCCTTTTTGTTGCTGTTGTCATTTTATTTCTGTCAATGTTTTATGCAACAATAATAATAATAAAATCAATGTGAAATATAACAAAAAAAAAAAAAAGAAAAAAAAGAAAGAGAGAAATCAGACTGGAAGAAATTGCGTATGTCAACAGAACAACAATAATCGCAAGGATACTATAGGCTTCATTTTAAACGGTAAAAGCAAATGGAATCCATATAAAGAGAAGAAAAGCATCTTAAAAATATATGATTGAACGAAAAAATAGAAAAAAAAAGAAAAAAGAATTGGGCCATCTGATTAACTTCTTGCTTAAATATAAATATAGATAAGTTTGAACATTTGCTTTTTCTCTTATCATTTGTCATTATTATCACAGCATAAGAAATTACGCATCTATTAAGCTATGTTCAATAAAGACAATGTTGAATTTGGTATGTTTTATTCAGATCATTATGATTCTGATTGTCTATGTCAATCATTTCCATATTGTAGTCTATAGATACAACCCACATAGAGTGGCATGTAAAAAGAGAATAAATTTTAATGTTTTAACAGTACCATTAAGATTCCCGTCAGCGTCTGTTGACAGTTTTCGATTTGTCTTGTAGTCGTTACGGCTTCCGCCTTCACATTGATCTTAGAAAATCACTGAAAAGAAAAAACCAGAAGAAAAGAAAATGAAAGCAACCATGATAAATCGGATCGTTATTACAGAAACAGTCGACATCAGCTATTAGTTGAATTAAAATAATACAAATGGCATCACAACAATCGGATGATGATATTTTCGTCGATTCACCAACTAATAAGCATCATCGGTTTTTTCCATCATCACCAAAATTAATAACAATGAAACGTGATCAAGAATCAACATGTAAAAAATAGTGTATTGTGAAATGTTTCAATGAAATGAGGATAATTAATTACTTGATATAACTTTTTATTCGTATTAAATGCATTATTAATTTAATTTTTTTACTATTAGTTGATACTGTAACTCCGTTAACACGTCAAATGAAATCATCATCAATTTCAGCTTCAGAAAGTGGTGATAATGAACGAACTACACCACTTCGACGTCGGCCAAGTGTTCTTGATGAAAAAGCATTACGTGAAACTGATACAAAAACAGTTCGTGATCAACGTATTCAAGCTATTACTCGAAGTTATCAAGGTATTTTAGACAGTATTGGAGAAGATTCGACACGACAAGGTTAGATATTATTGTTTTTCTTCTAATATTATTATTTTGCATTTTTCCCTTTTCTAGGTCTTCTTAAAACACCAAAACGTGCTGCTGAAGTATGTTAAATAGAGAAAGAAAGCAAACGTCTAATTGATACATATCCGTTATAAGAGATATACATCTATTAATATTTTTTTTCTTCTTCTAGGCATTAGTTTTCTTTACCAAAGGTTATGAACAATCAATTCGTGATGTTGTTAGTGATGCTATTTTTGATGAAGATTGCGAAAATATGGTTGTAGTTAAAGAAATTGATATCTATTCTTTATGCGAACATCATATGTATGATTAAATAAAAAAAAAGAATCTTTTACAATTCTTAATAATATTAATTTATTTTTGTATAGGGTACCTTTTTTTGGTAAAGTATCTGTTGGTTATTTACCAAATAAACGAGTCTTAGGTTTAAGTAAAATTGCAAGGTAATGAATTGATTTTAATCGATTAAAAAACTTTGAATAGAATTTATTTTCTTCTTAAGAATTGTTGAAGTCTTTAGTCGACGTTTACAAGGTATATAAATAGAAAGATTAGGAAAATAAAAATCGTTTTAACGTTCATATTATAGTACAAGAACGTTTGACACGACAAATTGCAGAAGCTATTGCCGAAGCAATAGAACCAAGAGGCGTAGCTGTCATTGTAGAATGTCAGTAAGTAATAAAAAGAAAAAATAAAGAGATATATTTATTTGTTTTTTAAAGGCATATGTGTATGATCATGCGAGGTGCACAAAAGGTTAATTCACGAACAACAACATCAGCAATGCTTGGTGTTTTTCGTGAAGATCCCAAAACACGAGAAGAATTTTTATCACTTGGTGGTATTAAGCCATTTTAATAAAGCAATATTAATTGATTTTACTTTTCTATTATAAACTAATCATGATTCATTGCAATATTACTTATAAGAAAATAAATACATGTAATCTTTATAGAAAGAAAAAGATATTAGATATATTACTATTTTTCTTTCAATTTTGATATTTATATAAAAGATAGAGAAATTGATTTTTTTCACAAGCAATATCTATTAGATGATCATGATAATTGAAATAAACCTTGTTGAAACATCCTTTGCACTATCAATAAAATATTTCTGTAATTTTTTTCTCCGTTTCTTATAATCCTTGCTCGTGCTATTGTCTACATTCGTACATTGTACTAAATAACATGCGTCTTCTACAAATTTTAGTAACGTTACTAAATAGAAAACTTATTCTAATTAATAATTTACAATTTCTATAAATTGTAGACTTCAAATTATTTAAAAAAATAATTGTAATCAATCTTTGACGTTCTTCACAAATTGCAGCAATTCTACTTAAACCTCTTTCAAATGAAAATATTTTCATAATTTCTTATAAAATAAATCAATGTGACAGAAAGAACACATTTCATGTTATATGTCAAAATTTATCAAGGATTGGAATTGTTGCATATATATGGTATTTTTTGCTATCGCTATTTTTGTATTTTTATTTTTTATTTTATTGAAGCATTAAAAAAGATATATAGTAAACCGGTGCGTGTCTGTATTATGTTTGTCCTTTACACCCACATCCAGCCCTTTTCTTTTCAAAGTGTAGTTCCATTCATAGTACGTGGTTGCGTGGTTCCAACGATAGTACGCGGTTGCATGGTTCCAACTACATTGCGTGCTGGTCTACGTCGGCATAGCTTTTTAATCCATTTGACTAATTCAGGAAAGAAACCGAGACACATCCATGGAAAGAAAAGATAGAGAGTGTAGACAAGATCACCAAAGTAATATGTTTGAACGTCGGCAAGGAATGTTGGATCTCTAAGTATTTGTATTACTTCTACTAAGAGCGATGGCAACCAACCAACTGTGTAAAGGCCGGAAAGACACAGCAATTGCAACATCATGCGTCGCTGTTGTCCCCAAGTATGTGCTTGTTGAGCGCGACGTTTCTGTATAAAGACTCGTACAATCAGGGTAATATTGGCTAATATATCGACGACCATAGGCATGCTATTGTGGAACAGCATGTCAAATGTGCCTAGTACTGGGTCATACAGAAGATAACAATCGGCAAAACCGCACAGATTTTTTATAAAGTCCCACTGAGTACCATCACATGGATACAGAATGATGGCGAACAAAAAGAATATTATAGGATAGATGAGACAAATAAGCAGTGGTAGATAATGTAGTAAATTACGTAACCAGCGAACTCGTAGAACATGAGCATAGAAAATGAACATGTGCCGTTGAATCGAAATAGTGACCAATAGAAGTTCACTTGTGACATATATTGTGTATTCAAAGAAGGTCCACCATGTACAATAGGTTGCTGTTGCTGGACTCACATATCCATAGAAATAGAAATAGAGAATAAGTGGCATATCAAATAATAGTTGAACGAAATTTACTATGAGAAAAATCAACAGCGCATGATTATGGGGAGCTTTCAGAACAGTACGATGTGTTGAGAAAAAGCTAAAGATAAGAATGCAAACTATGATCGCTAGAACTTGCAGCACAAGTAAGACTGCAAATTTGACACGGTGCAGTACAAATAGATCATCTTCAAATGAATTCATGTCAGTGTTGTTCATAGTTGTAATAATATAACATAAAATGATCAAAGCCGTATCTTTTATAGGTAGAGATTAAATGAATATTATTATCATCATCATCATCATCATTTCGCTATTCTAATTTTTACTGACAGAATAATACATTCTCTATGAATTTGTCAGTAAGAATTTATATAAAGTATGATCACGTTATTTTTGACAGTTTTGCGCGGTTTGTTATATTTATAGAAAACATCGAAGGTTTTTTGTTTTGATATATGCGGAACGAGCATCAGTTACTCTATCGAATTGTATAATTCCGAAAAGTCTTGAAACGAAACTTTGACACGCTCAAATTTCACCAGCAGTAAGCTCAATAAAAATAAAAATTGATTTAAATGTAAGAAACTCATCTCACTTCCCCGTGCAAAAAAATATTAAGCAAAACAAATTCAAAGTTACGGAGCAGAATGACGCCTACTGTTAAACTTTAGTATATTTTTCTGGAGTGAAAAACCAAATTTGTATCACTTTTCGCACAAAGTCACTAGTAGTAATCGATATAAATGATATCAAAATTGCTAAAAACACAAATGTTAGATATCCACAAAACTAAAACTTCTCGGAAAACAGTCGAAAATCTCATATGAAGAAAATGTTCACCGGAATGTTTTGAAAAATGAAAGTTCTATCATTCTATATAGAAATATAAAGTTCCAATACAGCAGTAATTAATATCTGAAATTTTGCTAGATGGAAAAAACTGTTTTGAGTGCGTCCCGGGATTTATCCAATTTTTAGATCGCATTCAAATTAAATAAAATAACAACTATCCGATCCGATAGACTAGTCGATTCTTCATCCAATTGAATCGAAACAAAGAACTTTCGAGGTTCTACATAAAAATAATAAAGATTACAAAGCTGTTAAAAATAACGTGATTATGCTGTATACATACATCTCTTTATATTATTATCTCTCATTTATAAGAACTTAATAAGCTCAAAGTAATCGATGTGAATGTGCAAATAGAAGATTTCATAATACAATTATAGTTTCCCTCATTCAAACAAACCTGAGTACCGTTAACATGAATTATTTATGAGCGCATTAAAATTTGTTTTTTTTCTGAAGCAAATAGATTATTTCACAAATAAGTTGAATGATATATTTAGATCAGTTTTTACAGTGAAAACCCATTTACACAAACATCTCGCAATATAACATTCAGCATCATGTTATTTAAATATACTGGTTTTCGAAATATATTTTATAACCATATAGTAGAGCGGAATATATTTGAATAGAATGAAGAAAAGAAATAATTGTATACATTCATGCAAGAAATAAGTTACAAAACAATTCAAAATTTTTGTACATTCTCCGAATTATTTTACTGTAGGATCTATATATATATATATATATATGTTCACCTTATATAAGATCTATACAAAATATTCTGGATTCTAAAAGGATTATTAGCAGAAGCTAATCAGTCAAGCCTCGGTGGGACTAAGATGTGAAGCTTACACATCTACTTCACTCTGAGGTAAAGTAAAATAAAGAGTGTATGCTTGGAATGAAGACCAATATTCACATGCTCTCCCACACGCACTCGATATAGATTATTAACCTCAAATTAAATTATCGCCATCAGTAAGCACACGCAACAGTAAAGCAATATTTGTACTAAATGTTTGAACGAAAATCAACTGAAAGTCCAAAATTAAGCTATAACAATGGCTTCACTTGTTCGTTCGTTGCAAAAAAAAGCATAAGAGAAGAAAAAAAGTAAATGAAATTTTAAGTCAATAAAGTAATGTAAAATGATAAAGTATATGAGCACACGCAAAAAATGTTCGGCAAGCTCTAATAAAAATTGTCTGATTGATTACTATGGTCTAGTGCTGTGCTAAAGATTTCATAGTTAAATGAGCAATATCTTCTTTCAGTAAGATATACATATCCATATAAGAATGGGCACCAATATGACAGTGAAACATCCACAAACCTGGATTGTCGACAATCATTCGAATTTTTGTCCATCCACATGGTAGACGGTGGTTATTCGCTGTTCGATTCGATGTAAAATAGGCATATTGAGTAGCATATACTGTTTGCGTATCTCGTAGAACAGGAAAGGATATGCTGGCAGTCGGTTTCAATTTCTGATACATGCCTGATCCGTATGAGTGCACCCAAAACTTGTGTCCATGCATATGAAATGGATGAGATTCACATACACCATTCAATGCTACGGTATTCTGTATTACAATGTCTACGATTTCATTTTGTTCAACGACATACGTGACATTTTTAAATAGATCCTGTTGGTTACCATTGTAGAGATCGAATAGAAACGGTGTAGCCACACTTTGTAATTGTGACATGTCCAGTACTGCATTGTTAATCTTCCATCGATAGCCTAAACCGTCTGAAGTAAGATCTTGTGTAGCAAGAAGGAAATATTCTCGATCAGAAGATTTCGTCGGCATCTTATCAAGAGAAAACATTGTTTCGTAGGGATTATTGAAACTAAATTTTAATAAATCCGTTTCATTTGCCAATGTTGGACGTGGTAGAATAGAAAGATCAGACGGAATTTGAGATATTGAACCATAACGAAGTGCACCTATACAACTGATATGAGAAAGAAAATTCTTTTTTATATGAAAATCCTAAGGTATAAGACTTATTTTACCTTGAATTTGCTGGTAATGCTCGCCATCGAATGGCGGTTTCCATGAGAAACACACCTTGAGATTGTTTTTTTGTCTCAATAATGACTGCATATCGTTGACCGGATGCAAGTTCAAGTGAATTAACATTTGGTTTTGGTTTAATTAGTGTTCCATCGACTTCGACAACTGTCATTGGATGTTGATAAATTCCAAAGACAATAGTGGATAGACTGGTCGCACCAATCAGACGTAATAGATATTTTGTATTTGGGCGGAGTGTCATAACAAAATTGCGTTGACCATTGATTAATAAATCGGTTGGTTCACCTTCCCATTTGAATGGAGATCCGATAAGGCCCGCTTCTTGTGTCAGACGATCAGATATTAGCCATTGATCGGAGAAAAGTAAAGGACCGCCTGGTATTTCGGGTAAATTCCATGGCTTTTGTTTATCATGCACCAATAAGGGGCCAAATGCTGTAACAGCTTGTAATCCCGAATGCGAATGATAGAAATAAGTGCCAGCTGGATTGGCCCGAAATACATAGGTAAATGTCTTGCCACTAGAAATCGGCATTTGTGTCATATATGCTGCACCGTCCATGTGTGGTGTTTGTTTTTGGAGCATACCATGAAAATGAATAGTTAGTTCTTCGTTACTTAACAAATTATTCTTTATATGAACTACTAGAATATCGTCGAGTTCGGCTTCAATAAGTGGACCTGGAAATTGATTATTTATCAGGACAGTTGATGACGAATTTGAAGCATAAGAAACAGTTAAAGTATATTCACGTCGCTGATCAGCACTGGCTACATCATTTGTTTGTAACAAAATAGTAATCACGACCAAAAACAAACGAAACATGGTACGTCGATCTCAAAATAAAGAATAGAATTAGGAAAGGGTGTGGGTGAGGATGGGTGTGAGTGTGATGATTGCGGGTACTATCCTTTTCACCCACACCCACCATCAAGTCTAAAATAATTTGGCAGCTCATAACAGTGCCGAACTCAGGATTTAGGGCTCAGTAAAGAAGATTCAGCTACCATGATGGGTTTCTGAGTTGTATCTCTAGCGAATAAAATATATCCATAAAAAACTCCGGTAGAGTGGCTCAAAAACATGTAGGGCATAGTGTTGATCTCTCCTGAGTTCGGCACTAGATCGGACCTTTTCTTCTAAAATATCGGTATTTTCAAAGGATTCGCTGATGTCTCTCACGCCATTTAGAGCATCGACTTTTGACATTCTACTTGAAACTTCGATTCTCTAGGTGATCTGTGAAAATCAAAACGTTTACTTAAAAGATCAAGTAGAAGTAGGATATTTTAAGAACAAACGCGCGCCTAACAGAAGTATATAAAAATCATAATCACTCAATAAAGATGATCAAATAGGCTTAGTCTCACACAGAAGTCGACTTAGCATTTCGGGAGATTTTCTTGCCAGTAAAAATCACTATTTTTAAACTATATGTCAATCATTTTTTTCGATTACCGTCTTGTTTACTCATACTTGCCATCTCATTTGGACAAAAATGAAAGTGCGTAGCATCTACATCTTTTGTTTTTATGCATATTTTTTTCATTTTTTTTTCTTGCCAAATATTTACCTACCTTAAAAGAAAGAATAAATATTGCGACGATGTGGCAAAGCAACAACCCAGAAAAAAATAATGATTATTTCGTTGTTAAAAAAATATGCTTCAGGCATCACAAAGAAACCCTATTAGTTGCAGTAACGGAGAAATGACATTACAAAAAAAAATAATAATGCCAAACCGGTGCAAAAATGATTACTGCATGCACACAAAACATTCTTTGGTTGACATAATTTTATTCATATGAACTATATTATTTCATAGCGGGTGTGGGCATGAATCGGGATCTAGATATACTTGTTACGCTCATCGATCATACATATCAACTTGCATCATCACCCTCTAAAGAAAAGGAACCAATTCAGCTAGCAAATCAGTTTTCCAATGCGATCTACTGGATCATAGGTTATCGGCGACACTGATTCAGAATGCCATGACAGTTGCCTGTGGGTCTCCAAAGACTGGTATTTGAGGGGGAAAAACAGTTATCTGTAGTATCATTTCATTTTTTCAGAACAATTTTATGATCTTTTTTAGTTATATTCACGTAGGCAGAGAAACGATAAAACGCCATTTTTATGCGTTAACGCTTTTTCAATGTCTTTTTACGAAGTGAAAAAACATATTTCGGCAAGCAATGTGTTATATAGAGTTAGACGGTTTCACACGTTTTAACATAGTACAACGTTTTTTTGCCAGTTATAAAGGGAAAAGAAGTTAAGAAACAGATATTTGTTTGTCATTTCTATTGATTAACGTTTTAAAAAATTAAGCGCTTTAAAAATGAAATTGTTACATATGACAATTAAAGCTAAGAATCACATAGAGGGGGCTAGTGTGTCTGCAAATGAATGAGATTCATCTACCCCCGCACTTACCCATTTTAGCTATATAAAGCTTTCAGGAAATAAATAGTTTTCAGAGTTTAATTTATGAATATGTTTTCAAAACAAAAGCCAAAACTATCACAGCATCATACCAAGATGGGCAATATTTAATGCCTGAAACTAAGATTGCTGAAACCGAGAGTCTTGATTTCGTCTCAGGCTCGGTGCATCCCTAATTATTATTTTATATTCTGAAACAATTTGTTATCATATGTATGTTACATAAAAATGCGGACTATATATCAAGAAAGATGATATCCGAGGAGATGTATGAAGGTAAAAGATATGGATTAAATTATATGACACTTCGTATTGATCTTTTGAATGATCAAAAAAAATAATGAATCAATAACAGAAACATCTGGTCGAATTAGATGTTACAAAATTTCAAAAATATTTGTAACTCGTTATTATGCCAAGAGAAGTGGCAGAAATCCTTTTGAATGACACCCCTTTTGTTTATTTCATTAGTACGTCACCTTTTTCTTCCCTACTCCGATTTCTTGTTTCTTTCCTTTTGCTCTATTTTCTCTCTCTTCCACTCTCTCTAGTCTCTCCCTCTCCTTCTTTTTCTTTCCCTTCTATCTCTATTTAATATATTCGGATAATATATCAGTTACTTGTTGTATCAACTATATACATTTATTCTTACTTTCTAGTATTATTATTTCATAAAATAATACGTTCCGGTGCTATCCAAGCAATCGACACCATTTCTTCTTTTATTAATTCATATACATCAATTAGGAGCTTATTGCATCTTTCATTTGCGTCACAACATAGTCAATGACTATACAATTTCATCCATGGAATATTATTACAATAATTGAAAAAAAAAAGAATCTTCTGACAAGAAACGAAATATCACAAATGCTGGAATATTTAAGGATGATTTTACAAATATCTCCAGCACGAAAATATGTCATTAGATGCTTAACCAACTATACTGATATTATTTTTGGTAAAGCATCAATTATCAATGATAAATTCAACTATGATATATTTATATAAAAAAAATGTCATACAAGAATATTGGAAATTTCTTCATTGCAACATAATTGATTTAGGGCATGTCAAATTTTGTATGCCAGAAAATTTCCAAATTAAATTATTATTAGGTAAATATAAGTTTTAATAGTAGTTAAAAAAATCAGTAAGAGATCACATTTGTTTTAAAAAAAATTTTTTTTTCAAAATTTATATAGGTTAGTAAAATTTCATTTGTTTCCTTTATGATGACAACAAAAACAAAAAATATTTACCACAACGTAGTGATTGGCGATATCATGTCTCCTAAAAAATTGAAAAAGATTCGCATAGGAAAAATCCTTCACCTTACATAGAATTCTTTCTAATTTACACAAATAATAACTGAAACGTTATATCTAAATATTTTTTCTTAATATCTTGATTTAAAATTAGATTTAAGTGAATATTTAAATCAAAGAATAATATATAACTAAGAAGTTATATGTAGTTTTTTCTTGGATATTTTAAATTTAAAATCTGATTTAGATAAAAAGCCAAATTAAAGAGTAAAATATGACTCAAAAGTCATGCCTAGGTGTTTTTTTCTTATAGTGTCTTAATTTAAAATTTGATTTAAATGAAAATATAAATCAAAGAGAGTACCATTAGATAAAAATTTCCAGCTCTATGAAACACTACGTTTTGTTATTCGAAATAAGAAAAACGAGATATTTCGCACCAACCGTTTTACGAATTTTATTCATTTTTTTCTAGGAAGAGGTGCAAATGGCATGGTATATCTGATTGAGTATGCAAATATTCAATATGCAATGAAAATTTCCAATACAAGATCGAGAAAAGAGTATGAAATAGCTGAACAAATGAAAAACTATATACAAGAACATCAATTAGATGCCTCCAATATTAACTTAATACAGATGCTCGATGTACAAGGGTTTATTCTATCAAGACCAGTTGGACAAGTATTGAAAAAAATGCATTTTTGTAAAAAAAAATATGTTATTCAAATACTTAAACAACTGGTCATCGGCCATAAGCTTGGACTTGTACATCGGGATGTTCGACCACATAATGTGATTATATTTAATGATGAACATATTTATTTAATCGATTGGAATCATCGACACATCATGGTTTCAAGGGTCAATATGAAGGTGCATTCATAACAGTATCTACAACTGTATTAGAGGAATATGAGTCAACACGCAGAAAACAAGTTTCAGCGTATTATGCTGACGATCATGTTTCAATTATTTACATGACTTTGATATTAAAATGTGCAAAAGACGAATAATCTGCATTGAAACAATACGCACATGCTAGTTCCGCCGGTCAATTAATTGTACAACGTCGAGAAATTCTTCAAAAACGTTTTCCAAAAACAATCATAGATCATATACATAGAATTGAACGTGAACGCGCCAATTTAGTGGATATAGATGATCTATATAATCGTTGTGAAAAAATAATCGACGAATGCATAAACATTATCTAGTTCAACAAGATTTCTTTTTCGAGATATCTAGAAGCTTTTTATTCTTTATTTGAAAAAGTAGATAAAATGCATATGTTCAATATTATATTGACATATACATGACAAATTCCATCAAAATTCTACAGAGCATATCTTATGATCAAACACACTTTGCAAGTCTTACTTTATCAAAATAATTAACTAAAAACTCCATTCGTATGAATAATCATCAATTTTAATTTTCATTGTTTTCATTCGCACAAATATTATTGGATTTGTTTGTTGATTTTTAACTAATTGGAAAAATGAAGAATTATATAAGTGACCAACAATCAGATGAAGAACATGTTAAATTAATTAACATGTTCAATATCCAAGGGTTTTATTCTATCAAGACCCATCGGAAGAATAGTGAAAAAAAATTATTCATCTCAATAGAAATATATTACTCAAATTTTTAAACAATTGATCAATGGTCATAAACTTGGACTTGTTCATCAGAATATTCGATTATATAATTTCATAACACCCAGGCTAAAAATAACGGCAACATAAACGACCGCGAACGGTGTAAAAACGGTAAGAATTAATCCAGTAATACAACGTTTTCTATGGTCGGAATACTTGTCCTGTGTTACTCTACTATTATATCAAACGGAATTCGGTTAAGAAGCGACAGGTAAGTTTACTTTAAATAAAGACGAGTTCGTTTAGTATTTTGAAAACTGCGGATGAACGTTTTCTATAGAAACAGGAATTGATGAATGTGTCACAATATAATATTGAAACCGAAATAAGAGACTGAACTCAATTAGAAATTGTACCACCAAAATATAAATGCCCTTTCGTAGCAATTAGTAATTAAATTTTTCGCCACAAGAAATGTATTGATTTCTTGAAAATAATTTATTAGCTACACTATCTAGATTTTATTAGAACAATAGTTATTCAATATTAAGATAAAATAAAACCACAAGAGTAGATAAATCATTTGTTCTGGATAAAAAAAAGAAATATGAACTTGTTTATTTATTTAATGAATACTTTTCTAAAATAGGTTTTGATAAATTAGTGAACTCGATATTTATAACTTTGTTTGTGTAACTGTATATGGAGATGAAACAAAGCTTTCAGATTTAATTCGATCACAAAATTCTAAATCAAAATCAGATAAACGTATTAAAAAACATATTTATTCAATAAAGTCCAATTGTGAAACATTAGAAGAGTTTATTGGAACTGACAATATGATTATTCCAGATCCAACTGAAGATTTTAAAGAAAACAAGAGGGATGGTGGGTGTAAGCGTTGGTAGATGTGTGTTGTTCTTATCACAGCCACATCTATAACCATACCCACACTCACACCCGTTTCCGATGGTCGGAATGTTCGTCCTAAGTTCACTTGATCTATCTTTCAATTCCAATCAGATATAGTGGATTATTATTTGATATCTTAATTTTAAATCTAATTCGAATGAAAATTTAAATCAAAGAATAAAATATAACTCAAAAGTTATCTTCAAATGTTTTTCTTTTGTATATTCTAAATTTAGAATCTCGTTTAAATCAAAATTTAAACTAAACAATATACCATTAAATATAACTGTTCAAGCTTGATTAAACACTGTATTTTGTTCATCAAAATGAGGAAAATGAAAAATTCGGTAGGGTCCTTTATTCGAATTTTATTCGTTTTTTAGGAAGAGGTGCAAATGGTATGGTTTATCAAATTGAACATCAGAATATTAAATATGCGTTCAAAATTTCAAATAAAAAATCAACAAAGAAATATTAAATTAATAAACACGTTTAATATACAAGGTTTTATTCTATCAAGACCAGTTGAAATATCAAAAAAAAGCAGAGAATTTCTAGTCGGAATACTGCTTCTACTTCATGTGATTACCGATGTGTTCCTGCGCGATCCGATGGTCGTAATGTTCGACCTAGGTATAATTTAAGAATATTTAATGATAAAGATGATTATTTAATCGACTGGGATTCATCAACATGTAATGGTTTAAAAGTCAATATGAAGGAGCATTTATAACAGCATCAACGTCTGTACTGGCTGAGTATGAACTAACACGTGACAAACAAGTTTCAGCTTATTATACTGATGATTATATATCAATCATATATATGATATTAATACTGAATTGTATAAATTAAAACAATATAGTTATGTTAGTTTTACCGGTCGACGTTATCTAAAACAAATCATAGACTGTCTATATGAAATTGAACATAAACGCCCTAGTTTAATAAATATAGATGATCTTTGTAATCGATGTGAACAAATAAATGAAGAATGCATAAACTTCATTTAGTTTGATAACATTTCTTTTTTTTTATACATATACAAGACTTTTTTTCTTTAATTTGTAGTTTGTTCTTTATTTAAAAATAAATAAATAAGATGAATATGTTCAATATTTTATTTACATGGATATAACAAATTCTATGGGAAATTTTATACAGAATATCTTGTGATCGAACACATTTCACAAGTCCAACTTTATTAGACTGATTAAGTGAAGGTCGAAAAGGGTGAGTGTGTAAAATGAAGAGAGCACCCTTGCGGCTACAAAGTCAGTTTAATTCTTCAACTTTCAAATGATAATGCTAATGTTTTGGTAAGAAGGTGATTTCAGTGTTCTATGCCAATCTTTCGGTATATGACAAATAAGTCTCATTCTATTATTTCACTATGTATTTTGTGATCTAACTCTCGGTTCTGGATTTAAATCTATTATAGTATTTGTGACTTTAAAATGTGTTCATTTATCTACATATATTCATTTCATTATCTACATCACGTTAACCATGAAATAAAACAACGATGCATGTTTTCTGTAATCTAAGTTAAGAATAACTAAGAAAATGAATGGATTAAATGTCAGTGTATTTTTTCTGCTTCGCATCTTGAACGTGTGAGTGTGGGTATAAATATAGTGATAAATATAATATTAATTAGCCATCCACACCCACGCCCACTCTCAAGATTGTAAACTCATCCTTTATGTGGACAAGTCGTATATGGTCTATATTTTTTATTGAAATTTATATAGTAAAGATTGATGTAATAACATACGGATTGATAGTATGAATAGCGTAAAAAAAATTTTAAAGCGAGAAGGTACGATAAATGATAGTAGATTACAACAAAATACCAAAAATCACACAAAAATTTGGAAATCTGTTATTTTTCTTTGTCATTTTTCTTTGTCATTTTTTTATATAAATCATTTTAAAAATACTCCATCTTCAGTTTTGTCTGACTCTTTCTTCAAATGTAATGTTTGTTCTATGAGGATCTAAATATTTAATTGTCAATTGAGTTGGAAACAACTTCTTAATTTCGAAAAATCTTTGACTCAATGAAAGTTCCCATGACCAAAGTTCTACATTCCATTTATCTTTCAATGCTATCTCTACGACATTTAAAAAACCGCCTCGATTATAGTTCGTATTTCCATCGCCAGTAACCAAAACAAGAACTTGTTGCCTATTATAAATTTCGTATTTTCTCAGAAGTATTAAAATTTGAGCGTGTAACAAATCGTCTAATGCACTTTCCTAGAAAAAAACAAAAAGTTATTTTAATATAATAATTGTCTAGAATACGACTCACTTTGCCGGTCGCCGCTCGGTCTATCACCATACATTTATAACCATTAGAGTCCCATTCTCTCCAAACACGAACGTTTTCTGGTGGTTTAGTTCCACCAACAATACGTGTTCTTATATCTATGTTTAATTTACCCCCCTTCAATTTTTTTTGTAAGATATCCAACATTTACACGAGTAGCTGGATTCATTTCAGTTACTCCAGTTTTTTCATTACGTATTAATTGAGCACCAAGAAACACATTTGAATTATCAATAACAATGTGATATTCTGTTGGTGTATACTAAACAACACATATTTAAAAGATATAAAAGAAAAAAAAATAAGATTGGAGAAATTACGTTCAAAACTTTTAAAGGGATTAGTAAATAAATATGTCAACATCATAAAGTGATCTATAGTTATATTTTAAACATCATTAGACGCATGGGATTGTCCCAACTTATCATTGAACAGATAATACTTTAGGACATAAATAAAGTGCAATTCTCCATCGAAAGAGTGGTCTAAAAATTTCGACTCCTCTCTGTATATCAATGATATCTATAACAAACTTGTTTAAAGTTATCAATCAAATTATGTCATTTTGTAAAGGAAGAGAAGAACTATCATATGGAAAAGAAATAGTTTCAAATACATAGTTTCACTATGATGTTCTAGTCATTCAACTAATATTAATTAGAGATTTTTATGTCATGTTTTTTAAGAATTACAAAAAGATCTTTTTTAAATAATAGTATGTTTCTTAAAACTTATATTTCAATAGAACAGCATTTGCTCCATTGTCAGAAAAAAAGAGTCTTACACTGAAAAATGAATGTATGTGTGTTGGTCTGTCCAAGTTAATTAGAAGTTAACATAACTTTTCTTCTGCTTTTATTTAGACGAGCCATGGACATACTCTGGCCATTTAGTAGTTGTTATAGGTTATCTTTAATGTGCTCCGAACAATCTCATGTTTCATGTCGATAATAGTGGAAACTTCACTTTAATGAATCAGATTCAATGATGATTTTTTCCATGGGTAATAATAATTGACCGAGTTGCGAACTGAAATCTGAAGGAACCGAACAACACTAGCTATCTTGAGGGTCAGGATGAGGTGAGGGTGTGAACACTCAAACAGAGCATCTCTGTTATGAAGAATGTGAGCGGAAGTATACAGACAGCAATGAAGGACTATAAAATCTTCGTAGACCCCGGCAAACTTGTTATATCTCTTTTATGGACTTCTGTAAACTGGCATAGATCTTACAAATAAATCTTCCATATACATAAATGTAAAGATTTTAAATTAATTTATAATTCATTTCGGTCATGAACTCGTTTTTCTTCATAAATTGTTAATCTGGGTGATTCCTCATGATATGAAAATAGGCCTGAATATATTGAATATAATCATGGGAATTTTCCCTACAATTAATGTTGATTTATAATTGGATGATATGTTTCATAGATTGTCAGAAAACTCTTTTAAAATGAAAGTGTAGGAAATAAAAAGTGATATGCAGTATATGACCCATATTGAAGGCAGAGAATGCATCTTCACAGAGGCATTGTATTAGCTGAAATCTTCATGCAAATTGGTACAATAACTCTGTGTGTTTCCAAGAATATCTATGTTTTATGAAGCATCAGAGGGATAATTTTTTCTATATTTCAGTAAATCTTATATCTTTCACTTTAATATTTAA